AAGTTGTACAAGATCTTATACAGGGATTTTCAGTAGGGATAAACCTATATTATTGATTAAGAATATTCAAAATTTTTTGTCATTTAATTATCGCCCTATAAAAACGGCACTGAACGTGAAAATGATAAACATTGATTTTAAAACACTATTTTCTCGAATTCTGAACACTTTTTATAAAATCGGACAACGTAGCCATATTGGATACGCCATTTTGAATTTTTATAAATTAACATCATATTTGTAATCAAGGACACCAAAAACCCCCAAGTATCAAGTTTTAAAGAAATCCGAGCAATTTTTTGAAAAAATCCACCATTTTAGATCCGCCATTTTTAATTTTTTTATATATCCCAGAGAGTATTAGAGAGTGGAAGCTGCCATAAGAGAGCAATGTATTTGACCGTACACGATTTTCAAGCGCCCTCAAACGATTCATGCCCAAAGATATTATCCCCACCAACGGTGTAACCGGGAAAATTTGAATGCATGTATTTTTTAATATATTTGAAAGTAGTAATAAAATTTACTAAATACTTTTTTTTAAATTAAAAATTCGCTGTAAAATTAATAGAATTAAACATGTTATTCAAAGTTATAAAAATATTTTATTAAATCTTTTCAACATGATAAACATAACGTGATTACAGTACAATATAAATTGAATATAAATAAAATGTAATATAAATTACAAATACAATATTCAATATAACATTTTATCACACTGTTATTATTGCGTAGACTTCATACTCTTAGCTTAAATATATAAAATTTAAATTCATCTGCAAAAAGTTTAACAATTCTATTGTATATTGACAAAATCCAATTAAGAATTATTATTATTATTATTGTAAATATTAATATTACAGGTTTTGTCGAATTTCTTACTGGTTAGTGTTATTTACAATTTACTGATATTTAAAAATTTTTTAGCATAATAAATAAGGTCATCAAAAAGTAAAATTTTTTATAAATTTCTACTTTTATTATTATCTATTTTTATCATTAGTTATATTATTATTATATAATTTTACTGTTATTAAGCTGTATTATTTTTTGTTATTTTTTGTTCAATTTAAATGTTTCCTGCAATATTATAAAATTAATCTAATATTCTGACATTTACTTTATATAATGCAATTATGTTATTTTTTATCTTTCACATCGCATTTTGAAAGTGCAATCTCCTAAATTATATAAAGTAAACGTCTGAAAATTCTTACCACTTATTGTTAAGTTTTTAACATTGAGACACTCTAATTTAATCTCAGTCTCTCTTTTCCGTCCTTCGTTGAATGACGCTGTTGACATTTGAGAAACTTCCTTTATTTCACTTGCAGAGTTTCCTGCTTCCTTTGTCTGTTCAGCATCTGTTTGTATTGTCTTGTCTTCATCCTTCCTCACATTCTGACCTGTGAAGTCAATGGTTTCACAATTAACAAACTTATAAACAAAATTGTTTATACTAATATTTTTAATATTATTAATGTTAACTTACTATTTTCTACAGCACTCTTTTTGTTTTCTATATTGATGGTCGGTATTGAATTTTGTTTCAATAGTGGCCTGGGATTAAGTGTTTTAAAACATTTCTTGTCGAAATGTTTCATACAAATTCGAACTTTTGGATGTAGATTACTTTCATCAAGGGAAGTAAATTCCAACCATTTCTTTTGACTAAAAAGGGTTTAACGTTTTTAATTTAACAATAATGTTTACAGTTTTAAATCATATAAAAGTTAGGTTATGTATACACACATAGGAATATAACAAAAAATACTTACATTAACTTATCTTTTGGAAACGCAAACGAGGATATTCCTCGGCCAAAACGAGTGGCACAATTTTTTACACAGCAATATAACATTTTCTTTTATTTAGTTAAAAAAATGATAATTTTAAAATCGATGCATCTTGACGCTAACAAAAATCAGCTGCCACAACACAGTATATACTAGTATACACATTATACATATATATTTTTAATGTTGGGTGGCAAACGCTAGAGGCGTTACTAGTAGCGTGTACGCTCAGCTTCCACTCTCTAATACTCTCTGATATATCCAATTTTTATGTTATTAATGTCAATGAATCCAAATCAACATTCAGAAGAAGCAAAAATTCAGTTTTAGATATAGAAATTGAGTAAATTTCCATATAAATCAATTTCTCAAAAAGCACGCCCCCCAACATGCCTGTAAAAAGAAAACACGAACTAACTTTTAGGTTGGACTACGTTTTTCTCTTTAGATACAACTTAAGAAAGAAAATCTACCATATGGCAGTCCTGGCAATTGAAATTTTTCTTCCTTTGTGTGCCTGTGTTATTATTACTTTCCTATTCTGCGATCTTGTTTTTCGTGGATTTGAAAAATCTTTCGGATTTTGGAAATTTATAAGATAAGAAATCTTGCTACGTTGTCCGATTTTATAAAAAGTGTTCAGAATTCAAGAAAATAGTGTTTTAAAATCAATGTTTATCATTTTCACGTTCAGTGCCGTTTTTATAGGGCGATAATTAAATGACAAAAAATTTTGACTATTCTTAATCAATATAATCTGAACAAAAAATAGGTTTATATTTATAAAGAAATACAAAGTAGATCAATTTCTATTCTTATTAGTACTATAAGTATAGTTAAAAATAATTAATATTTTGTTGAATTTTAATATTGCCTTAAAAGTTGAAAGAAACTACCTTACCGACCGCATACGGTAATGAAAACATTAGAATAATTTGATTTCAGCTTAGGGGCCGTGTACAAATTACGTAAGGGCCACAGGGGGGGAGGGTAGGTGCGAAGATTTTCTTACGTAAGGCAATTAAAATTAATTTCTACAATTTAAATAAAAGCGATTTTTAGGACTTACTTAGAATTTTCAGATTGTCAAGTGCAATGACATCAAGTGTTGCGGCTCATTAAGAAGTAATATAAGAGAAATACTTCCTACTGGATTTTTTCCTCTACCATGTCCCATAAAGTATACAAACGGTCGTCTAGAATTTCAAAGGTTGAATGAAGTTAATGATGATGTGAAGTTTCTTCCTCTTTTTCAAAGATTAGCTATAAATCTATCGATTTTCCACGAACCATTTATACAAATGCCATACGATTTTTATTGCCCGTCAGTTAATGACCAATTAAATGGCAGAGTCTGTGTTAGTTGCGGATTATATTTCGTGACAAAAAAAGGAGTTGAAAAACACATGAAAATTATTGGGACATCAGGGTCTCAAAAAACCAAGAAAAAAAAGAGAAATTGTTTCAAAAGCGATTTTGAAGAAAAGAAAGGATGAAATGATGTGCATTCTTTTTAATTCCAAAGGTGAAGCACATGATTCAGAGTGGGTTGGATCAGACGACGTAGTTGTAAAGGACGCAAAAGTAGATGAGTCTTCCAAAGAAAATATTAATGTAGATGAATCTTTAGTGCCTATTATAAATTCCTTAAAGGAATGGATCACAAATCCATTTTCTACTGAAGATGAGAAGGTTTAAAAAATGATCTAATAATGTTGAAAAATGTATTTTGTTCTCTACAATAATGACTGTTTAACTATGTTAACTTTGTTTTAAATATAATTAAAAAAATTTATTAACATTAAGAATAAAACGTGTAATACGTAACTTTAATTTTTGACCTATATTTTCTTTAAACCTTACGTAAGAAAGGGGGGGGGGAGGCTAACAAAATCTTACTTAACCTTACATGGGGGAGGGGGGGTTTAAAATGTTTAAAATTGGCCTTACGTAATTTGTACACGGCCCCTTAGTTTAAAAGTTAATATTAATTATTTTTAATTAATTAGTATTAATAATAATTAAAATTGATGTACTTTGCATTTCTTTATGAATATAAACCTATTTTTTGTTCAGATTATAATCATTAAAATAAAATTTGAAAAAAGTCCATTGAATACTAGATGAGAATTCATAGGCCAAACTTTATCTGTAATAAATAATTATTTATTACATTATATATTGTAATTTTGATAAGAATCAACTCTATAAACATCCATTCACCCCTCAAAATGCAGTTTTCCTTCATATTTAGTCGATTTATCGAGCCTTTTTGACGAAACCAAAAGATAACCGAAAATAAACTCAGCTGGGTTAACTTTCGGTAAATAAAAATTGGCAGGGGAGGTTTATTAATTTGACAAGTTTATAAAATATTGAGGTAAATATACGCTGATGTTGAAACTATATAGTAAACAGCGTTTATGAAAACGATTATAATACAATTCCACAAGTTGTATAACGCAAATATTTGGTACATCGCATAGATAGAAAAAATTATAAAACAGAAAGGTAATATAGGAAGTGACATGTATGAACTTTTTTAGTATTTCGATTCCCGCGTCATTCCGCGATCATTGTTCTTTATAGCTGAATGGGAGTAATATTCCGTGTCGATGATTTTCAAAAGTAAGATTTTTTATCGATCTTTAAATGTTGAGAGAACAAACAAAATCCTTTATGTAAAAAAATATACTATGCGATGAGCAAGTATCCACGCAAGTATGTGTAGTCCTAGAAGTATTCAGAAATTGTGATATCTCTAGAATGCCTTTAGGACTTCCACGAACCTCCATGGAAAATCCTATGATTATCCTAATTTTCCCAGACCAAATGAATAAGAATTTTATCATTTTTACCTTTGAGTGTGTCAATACAATAGAGTAGTAGGGTCGAGGACAGTTTGTCCTAACAGCGATATCTTCTAGTTGCAAGAAGAGAGACTAGACTCACAAAACCACAATTAAAAAACTACAAGATAAAAGAATTACATGCAAGCGGAGATAATTTGGAGAATCGTCCCAATTGAGCTCTATTATGCCTTTGTATAAACAAGCTTACTTTGTAACTGCTTATGGATTAACAAATTTCTAAATTAAAAATATTTTATTAATACGACTTTATAACAATGCTAATTTTTCGGTAATTTCAATACTTTGGAATTCTGATTATACTGTAAAGATAAATTAAAATTTTGTTTAGTGTTTGCTGATATGTGGCAGTGGTTGATGACTGACATAACAACTGTAGCAAAAGACGTTTTGGATTTGGGACAAAGTCGACCTGAAAAACAAGTGTATATGTCACTACCACGTCCAGGGGTAAGTCTTTAGTTCTTACATATTAAAAATCGTTAAATTAAAATATTAATAATATTTATGATAGAGAAGTTAATCTTTTTGCAAAATACAATTTTGACTAATACTCTAAGATTTTATTTCCTATTTTATTCGGGAAGAAAGAGGATGATTTCTTTTGTTCGGACCGCTCCACTAAAAACCACATTCCTGGAGATTTACCAATCTTTTGTCCTGTTTCCTCTGTGTTTTTGCGAGAAACTTCTTGGCTTTCTCTAGAGCTGACCTGAAGATTCCGCATATTTTACTACCATGTTTGTTTCACCTCTATTTTTAATCAGGATTCCCTTCCTTGCAGCTCGTGCTGCTAAAACTGCCTTAATTGATCTCCCTTCTGAACTTACCTAAAACGTTCGTTCTCTGGAGGTGCATCCTCCTTTTTCTTTTTATTCTTTTTAGTTCGAGTTTTCTTCAGACTACCAAAGTACACATGCTTAAGAATAAGGACTAACTATAACCTTTTCTCGACTTATAACGAGAAATCTCAACTATAACGAGTGCCTCGTTACAATCTGTTCAACCAGTTTTGGTTTGCCCAGTATATATCCAGTACCTACATACACATATTAAAATTATTCATTCATTTAAATTGGCTTATTTAACAAAGTAAACGGGCTTGAAAAATTACAAAAGACCTTTTCGTAATAAAATACTATAATCAGTAATAATTCACTTTAAGAGATGAAGTAGGAGTGGTATAATTTTTCTTTTGTTTTGTATGAGTTTGATTTACATAAAAATAATTTTTTGTTATATTAATTTGTTTATGAATAACTCTGCTTGGATACATGATTAAAGAAAGTGATGATTTCACCCCTTTCTCTACATGTGTACGGTGAATGAGTATGTTTTTCTTGTTTCTTGTAACAATTAAATTCTTTAATAGTTGAACCATCAAGAAAGTAAATAATTTTAAAACTAATTTGTTCAACTTTTAAATATTCACGTAGAAAATTTGTATTATAAAATAATTAAATCGTTCTGCTCTAATTACTTTATTGGAAATTGAATATATATTTTTTGTCTATCTTCTTTAGAAACACGGGACAACAAGCAAACCCTTAAAACCTGTTAGTCTGGATAGTGAGGAACAAGCAAAAATTGCAAAAGCTGGCCTTGAGATGAAACTTATAACGTCTGAAATGAATGCAGAAACTGAAAAGTGGCAAGAAAGTGGTTCAGCTTTTGAAGAAAACAATGATATAGTAAAAAGAGCAAAAAATATGTCCTCAATGGCTTTTGCAATGTATCAGTTTACTAGAGGCGAAGGAGCTTTAAAAACTACTCAAGATCTTTTTACACAAGCTGAATATTTTGCAGAAGAAGCAAATAGACTATACAAAGTTGTGCGACAATTCAGTTACCAGGTACATACCCATAAAAACAAATATTAAATGTATTAAAGAATTTACTTTTGTTAAAAAAAAATTCATAACCCAAGAAGCTCTAAGTGAACAATTTTAAACAAATCTAATCAAGTTTTAAAAAATTTATCCGACATATTAGAACAGCCATTTAAATTTTTTAAAAACTATTATTAAATTCGTAATCGGCCACCGTGAAAATCCGAAAGTAACAAGTTTCATTAAAATTTATTAAAGTCATTGTTCAAATTTACATTTTTTTCACAAAATAAAATCTATTTTGATCTTACTGTGGAATAAGGCAATCCAGCCAGTATACAATTTTTTTTTAAATTAATGCAGCTACTAAACAATACATCGGATACCTATAGGTGTTTCTGGGAAAAAATTATGCAATTAAATGACCTTTTGTATGACAATACAAGATATAATGAATTGATTCTCTTAGTTACATTAATCCTAAAATATCCTCCATACTAAATGTATTCTCGAAGTCTTGTAGATTATTGACTAATGAAATCATTCCAAAATAATAAAAAGATTGTAAAATGATATATTAAAAAGCTCTTTTAATTGGTTTCAGGTGCCAGGCGGAAATCATAAAAAAGAATTACTTGAAAACTTAGATCGTGTTCCAACTTATGTTCAACAACTTCAATTTACAGTAAAAAATCCTACTGTTGGAAAATCTGCAACTTTTATCAAAGTTGACAACGTAATTCAAGAAACAAAAAATCTTATGAATGTTATATCAAAAGTGGTTACAACGTGCTTCGTCTGTGCTTCAAAAGTATGTATTTCCTCAATTTTCATTGTTTATAAATGTGTAATTAGATTTTTAATTATATAAATTCAACTTTTATCTGTGAATTTTTCTTAGTGAATGTAAATAAATTATTTTAAATATTTTAATTCATTTAAAATCGATTAACAATTATTTAGGAAAAAATACTAAGAATTTTATTAATTAATGAATATAGGTATAGGTAAAATTGTGTGTTATTATTTCACCACTACCTTGACTCAGGATAATTGATATTTTCCTGGCTTAAAATTCTTGTACATAAACATGTAGAAGATCATATAGAAGAACTTATATAAAGTCGTGTATGTACATGTTTATGTACAGAAATTGTACATTTTAAGCACTCGAAATTAAAACATGTACATACATGAACATTTTTTAATTTAGGGTGTTGATTATGTACAATTTATAGACATGAACATGTAGAATACTTTGTACAATTACTTGTACGAAGATCTCCCATATGTTCATGTACAAGAATTTTAAACCGGGATTTCTATATTCATTAAATACTTCAAATGGAATAACATGAATAGCCATAAATTTTTCAATACACAATTGATAACGGATTCTTGCAGTCTAAATTTACTGACGTAATTATAATATTTGCAGGATAACTAACAAGTTTTCTGTAGTATCAAATTATTTATTGACACAGTCAACTTATTTGCTTTCCCTATATTGATGAGCAAAGTTATTTCTGTGGCAGTAAAAAATTCACGACCACAACAAAATTCTTGTATAAGTGTGTATTTGAAATTTTTCAAAGTTTCAAATAATTTGCAATGTTTTATTTCAATTGTTTTGTAATCGTGGAACATTCGATTACGCAAAACGGTAACATAAGATAAGTCAGATGAATCATTAAGGTTCAGTTACGTTTAGCATGAAAATTTTTAAGAATTGTAAAAGTGAGAGGTGACGATATTGTTCAAATTTTCTAACAATTTCGAAGAGATTAATAATAATTATTTAAAAATAAAAGATCACATTTTTCGTACATTGCAACTCTTTCATATTATTCACTTTTAAAGTGACACAATCTCAGCTTAATCCTTTCAGTTTTTTACAGAGAAAAGTGTTAGTTTAGAGCTATCGCTAATATCTAAAACTACGTGATAAATATCCTATACAATTTTTATTAATTTCTATTAAAATTGAATGAAGCTACATTATTTAATACTTCAAAAATTGTTAAATTAACTAGCGAAAATTATAAACCGTAGAGTTGTTTTAATTGACAGACAAGGGCTACATTTTTCAAAAAGTACACGTTGGAAACAACGTCCTATCTTGTTTAAGGAGGTTCTATCGATTGACTACACTAGTCAAAACAGAAACCATTACTTTGTAACTTTACTTACACTGGAAACTCCCAAAAGCGGTCTTCCCGAGAGCGGACGAACTATCAGGGCGGTGTGGTAAATAGTGAGGAGGGAAGAGATGGGCGGGATCAGAAACAGAAAACAGGAGTGTCTGCTTTGAGTGATGCTTTGAGTGTACCGTTACTTTTCAAGCAGTTTTATTGGCTTATTAATTACTAAATTTTGAAAAAAATATTAATCATGAAATGAAAACTTACAATACTTTATTATAAAAACAAAATTCATTAATATTTATAATAATATGCACAATGTATTCTGCTAAAAGCACTAGTAATTCATTGTACGGCCCTGAGTATTTATAGTATTCCCCGTCAAGGACATTTTTCCGTAGAGCGGACTAAGACTAATGCCGTACTCTTTTGGGAGTTTCCAGTGTATTATGTTAAAATAATAAACTTTCAAAAAAGTGAGGTTATATGTCAAAATTAATGGAAATTAAAAAAAGTTATAATGTAGCGATGCAAGATATTTTGATTATATTATGAAACATATTAAATATTTTTAAAAGTTAATTTATTTACATGTACCAAGAACCTACAGGTTTCGAAAATTTAGCTACATCACTAAATAAGCTTCATATACCAGTGTACCAAATTTGATTAAAATAGTAATATTCTCTGTACGGTAGAACCTCCTTAACATATTAATTGGAAACTTTTTTCAAGAATATTTTTTTCTTTATGTAATTATAAACTTTGGAATGTACCAATAACTTCCAACTAATTTAAATAAATTTCAATAGAATTTGTTCAAGACATTACAATAAATTTATCATAAAGTAATAGATTTGAGAGAAACTAGAGAGAAATAACATTAAAATTTTTAACAACCGTACACTGTGAAATATTTATTTCTGAATCAAGACAATAATTAATATAATATAAAGACTTTAATAAAGGTGTCCTCCAATACATAGTTAGGTATATTTTATTTAAAGAGTTTTCTAAGTAAGTGTAATATTAATAATTTATAAAGGTACCTAAATTTAATGGAATTTTTAAAATCTGTCTAATGCAGTTTTATGCTTTTAACAGTAGGACATGTGTGACGATTTTCAGAGAGAGGGATCTAGTCTTAAAAGATTGTATTTTAAAATATTACAATCAAATAAGACATTTGAACCAGCAAAACTTTTAGTACAATTTTTTTCAATTGATAAAGGGCTATTTGATCAAAATAAGTTTATAAAACTAAGTGGTTTTGATACAAATGGCTGAAAGAGAGTACAAAGGGAGTAGTTATTGGTTTGATCGTAAAAACTAAACGCTGATAATGCAATACCCTCTTTGTGTTGAAAGTAGCATCTGTAAAAATTAAATTAAATCACTCGTATTCCAACAAAAAGAAGTTAGTCAATAGTAGCTTCCTTAATACACAAACCAGTTTCTAAATCACATGTGGGTGAAAATGCGATTATCTCTCATGACCAGTAAAAGAAGGAGGAGCTGCACTAACAAGTCAACTCAGTTGAAACCTCAGTTCATCGGAAAAAAGAGAACAGTGGCAGTTGTTTTAAGGCATAAGTGACACTGCTGGAGTCTGACAAACCGAATTCATTTGCCTCTATTAAGATAACCGCAGCCGAAGTAATACGCATACATCTTAAACCATTTTCAAAGCTTTATTTTCGATTCAATCCAGAATACCTAATGATTAGTGAGACATTAAAAGATTCCGAAACAAAAGACTATAAATGTTTAAATCGAGCTACGGGTTAGTACCTCGAATAAACCTAGATTAAAGCCTTTACAGCTTAAAATTAAAGTTGTGGGATAATAATCGGAATATTTCTGACAATGAGATATAAGGGGAGGGTACTCTTCCCTGTGGAACCCCCCTTCTACATCAGTCATTATAAAATGCATTATTGATGTCAACGGAAACAACCAGTGTATCAAGAGGACGACACAATGACGAAACGATATCTTCTTCCTGAAATCATTTTGTTGATTGTACTGAAATATACAAAAATAATACGATGACTCAGAAACATTGTGATAAACTAAAAAGAAAAATTTCCTTAAGGTAAATCTACTCAGAGATTCATTCTCGACTAGTTGTAGTTTAAGAAGGAGAGGGAAGAAGCGGAATCCACAAAGAATGGAGAGACCCAATCAAGAATATCACGGATTAAATTACGGTAAGCGAGTAAATCTATTTTCGGTGAAGTACTCCAAGTTGCTCTAGAGATAATTTTTAGATGCTCAGGGACATAGTAGCCTTGTCTGGAATCATAAGGATGTCTGCAATCTAGTATGATACCCAGATGTTTCATAGTCCTTTCACTCCTTTCACAGACTATTGATGTAGATGTTATCAAAACATGACCTGAACCTGGAAAATATGCAGTCTGCGGTTTTGGTAGGAACCACATCCAGCTCAACAGATTGCAACCAACGGACCAGGGTCTTCAGGGTTGAAATGACCTTGGATGAGATATCGTCATTACCTTCAAATCTGAAGTACAGCAGAAGGATCGTCAGGGTACATGACGTACTTCACTCTGACCCGGATGATCTATTCAATGTAGAAGAGATACAAATTGAACAGGAAAAGAACTCCACCCTGGGAGACACTCACATCGCACATTTTTGAGTCAGAACTATCAGACTTGAAGGAAGATAAATCTCTATCTGGTCCAGAGAATGAAGACTAATTCAGTCGAATTGAAATGAATACACCCTGGGCTTCAGTGAATCCCGCTTAGCGACAAATTCGAATTGGAGCTATGTTGCAATTCTCCTGAATTCAACAAAGCTGTATTCAGCTTCCAAACTCTCTATTCGTGACAATTAAATGAACAAACTTTTGAACTTTAATTTTTTGCAATTCATCATTACGAATTCAATAGGCATTGAATTTTGTTTAAATTCTTAATAGATGAAAATTCATTGGTACGAATGAAATGGAAGGGTGTATGTTAAGATCAATAAGCAATTTGATGAGGGTGTATATATTTTTGCAAAGTTAATCTGCTTAAGCCTTAATCCTTTAGGTAACTAAATTTGGAAAATAGAAAAGAAATCTCAATCGCATCTCACTTTCAGTTATCCTATTCTAATGTTAATATTTCACACGTGCTTTGTTATGTATAATTTTTACCAGTTTAGTATGAAAAACGGACTGATTTCAATGGGTGCCACAATCCATTGCAAATAACACTTGATACATCTAACTTTAATGCTTTATACTATTAAAATTATTTGACATCATCGCTTTTTAATTCTTGCAGATAACAAAGAAAATCAAAATCTATTGCTTAACATTAAAATTATTCTTTTAATTAATTTTTTGCAGTAGGTCTCTTTCTTTGAAAATCGTCACATATGTGTTTATCTTTATTTCTCAATAAAATTGATACATCGCTACCTTTTTTTGTTTTTATACTAGCACAATGTGGTAATGCCACAATACACGGACATCAATCAAATACCGTTGCCCGGTGTTCAAGATGAAGAATGCTTATATCCTATTAGTCCAAAATTACTACCACCCGCAAGTCCATACATTCAACCACACCCTTTAACAGCAAGTCAATTATATAACATTATAAAAAATTATCATTCTTTCCTTATTTGTTCTCCCAAGATTCCTAAAAAACAAATGAATGGGGCATGATAAGCAGTTTCACTCATCAAACAACTATAGGAAACAACGATGCCAATTTCGAACATACTACACCTAAACTATATTATACTTCAGTAATCGTAATCAACATCTTACAACACTACTCATACACAAATTTTTTATTTTTATGCAAGGAACAACATTCTTCAATATCTTAACAACAAGCAAGGTTCGATTGACATGATTTAAATTTTACCTAATTTCTTGTCTGACAAACTATTATATTTGTACCAAGAAGGCTAGTCTTCTTGATTTGTACTTGCCGTGCATTTAATTAGAATGTTTAAGGTATGCGATGCAATATAAAGGCAACAAACAGTTTGATAGCAATTTTTAAGTAAAAGTTAGTGATAAGCATTTTAAGACTCAAAAAATGTAATAGATTTTTGTCAAAAGTTACAAGTTTAAAGCACAGTTTTGTTTATTTTTTTTAGTACAACTTAGACTTCAGAGGATTGTCAGCGCGGGGTGGTTCAATGTATCGCGGTGGAGACGGTGTTGGAGATGGTGATGGCAGCGGTGCTGGAGGTGATGGTTCCAAAGCAGGTTCAGCTCCTGGTAGCGATTCGTCCGTCTGACAATTTGGTATGGCCCGAAGGGCCAAAGGGGATGGACGTCGTACTAGAGTTTCATTTTTATTATTCTAGACAAAATTTTCGTTACACACGTTTCCGATTTATAGCCTTCTAACAAAATTTGTTATTTCCTATCTTTTAAATTTTTTTTTAATATCCTGATCAGAAATTTTTGACAATATATTTACTTCAGAAGATTCATATATGCGTTTATCAAATATTTAAAATAAAAAACAGAGAATACATATATGATATCTTTTGACAAACTCCTTCTATATGAATAGACGGAGAGATATGGTAAAGATTATTCCTCATGACTTTTATATTTTTTTTAAAAGAAATTACTGATCATTTGCTTTAAGACTGTAATTACTAAAAAACATAATACTTGACAATACAAAAGAAAATATCAAGTAGGCAGAAATATAGTAAGATGTGTAATTAAGGTGCCAAATCTGGTAATTCGCTTAGTGAGTGCCTCCTAATTTTTCTGCTATTTATACACTAAAAAAAAGATAGCGTTGCAGCGCCTTTTGGTGTTTCTCATTCACCACTTCCTATTCAACATGAAAAGGTCTATTGCAGACCTTAGGGCTGAGTAGTATGAGAGAAATTGAAAATGTACTGCAACGTTATCTATTTTTTCATTCTAAATAAGTGCAAACATTAAATAAATGAATCCAATTAATAATTGGAGCAACTAGTGTCTGTTGAGTATGCCTAACAAGTACTCTCTCTGTTGACATTCCTTGAAGATCAAGATTTCTTTTACTCATTTTGGCAAAACGAATCATTTTTTGTGATTACATGTAGGGAAATATTAAACATAAAACTTTAGGGAATATTGTATATTATTAAACGTGTTTAGACAATATTAGAAATATTAATTGCAGTGTTGAGGCAATTTTGAATCAATATTGACAAAATATTTTTGCATCAGTACAATCAATGTTTAAAACCAAGCAAAAATTACTTGCTGTATTTCCTCAATTTTGCTTCATCATTGGCATACAATATTTGATTAAATTATTTGTTTAGTATTTCCTTAGAAATTAGACATACCTTTCACTTTTGCGATTGTTGGTTCAATTTTTATCAGTATTCTATCTAACATTATTGATATGATTTTGGCTTAAAGTGTGTCGTGAGGAAAAATCTGCAACATCTCTTTGACTAGAACGATGATTTCGTCTTGACGATAAGACACGAATGTTTTGAAATGACTAGATATATATATGTGAAATATTAGAAGGCTCTAGTAATTATTAATTTATTATTTTGTATGTGGGATATTTACTTTACCATGATAGTGTTTCGGAATACTTGAATGAATGAATTTAATAATAAGTGACGACTTTTTCCGCATAAAATCATGAATAATATAAGTCACCAAAGTGTAAAATAAATTTATCTATACATAACATTATGCAAAACTGTTTATTTAATTTCCTAACTGGAGTTTTATGTAGATGAAAGATATACGATATAATCAATTATTGTTTATTAATAATAATTCCACAATAGGAATCTGTTGCGTCTCAAAAATAGAGAAATAACTAACAAAACAAAATTTATATTTATTTCGTCCGCTTTGATGGTTCAATGATATTTCTTGTTTTAGTTACAAAGCACAAGCATGGTGACCACAAGTCAGGGAAAAGTCAGGGAATTTTTAAAAGTTCTTTAAAAGTCAGGGAATTTTGATTCAATTCAGTTTTTTTTATTTAGACGTTTTTGTAATACAGCTCATTATAATGGTGCCGTCAGATTTTTTATTTTTCAAAGTATTTAGTTTTTTTTAGTCAGGGAAAATAAAAAATTAGTCAGGGAAAAGTCAGGGAATTTTGAAAATTAAATTTTGCGGTCGCCCTGAGAAGGCCCTGAGCTGAAGGTACAGATAAGAAAAAGAAATATAATAATTGAAATATAGTTAAAGTTTTGTAACGCCGAACATGTGCTCAGTGGATAATTCCACTTGTTCGACTCTACGAAAATGGCGACGATGGCGGAAAAAAATCTGAGTTGTTGAATTCGTCACTACGAAATTAACAACAACCTCCGAAGATCCGATTATTATTTATTGGTAACATTCCAGGCGCTATGTAGATAAACTACCCAAATCTTTAGAAATAACTTCAAATTATGAGCTTCTCGGACTAACTTGAAAAACCGAACTCATTAATTTATTTTTAATTATTGAAATTCACTAATTACCATTTTCAGAATCGTCATGTACACTCACACACGGAAGAGAGAAGCACACACATTTTATTTTTAATGAGTATCATCACTAAATATCCAGTTGAATTTTCTTATTTATTAACCCCTTGACAGTCGATGGCCGATATATATTCAAAAACCCCTAAGTACTGGATTTTGAACGAATCGAATCAATTTCAAATTTTTCCGCCATATTGGGTTTGCTATTTTGAATTTTGTAAATCTGACCTTTTTGGATTCAGCGACCCCAAGAACTTTAAATAAGATGATATGAAATTTTTTTGGAAACTTTTTTTGAACCGTTTTGGGCTCACAAACGATTTTTCTACTAGACTGCGAAGGGTTTAAAATATAAAAAATGGAATAATTTATTCGAGAATCTACACTTGGAGATGCCTGTAAACGGTTGATATCAAAAAGATGGCGGCTTCACGTGGCTGGCGTTATACCGAGTTTCAGAACCTTTTAAATGTTTAGTTATTGACGTGACATTGAGGACCAAACACCACCTTCGGAGCTTCTCGATTAATCTGGAATACTCCATTTTTAGGACAAAGAATTAGCAATTTCGCCAAGACGACGTAGACTAAATTACAAAAGAAGTGAAGTTTGGTTATCACTTATCGACAACTGGAAAGCCAGTTATCGGTCCCGTCTTGGCTGATTGCTGTCACGCGCCTGTGCCCTTTATCCTTCGGCTTTGGGTTGACAGCTAACTACCTGGTCCTGGAAAACATACAAGGCGTTAAACTAAGACGTTAAACTAAAAAAAAACGTTAAACTAAGAAGAAGAAGAAGGGTTGACAGCTATTGTCCCAGATAGGCTACATTGGACTGTGAATTTGGCCATAACACGGAAAAGTTTTTTGTCGTTCCTCTCTATCAACACTGGGGACGCCAAGCTTCCAGGTATGAAATGTAGAGGCAGCACCAAATTGGGGTCTACTGCTTTCTTTCGTGTGTGCTCTGAACTTCCACAGGAGAAGAAGATATTCTTCTGTTTCATAAAAGCACACGGAAAAAACAAACTAACTATTTTAGCACCAAACTGCTTTATCCTTTAATAGTATATAATTTCGTTTACCTATTAAAATATGAAATAATGCTTTTTTAGTTTAAAGTAAGTCCATACTAAATAAGTATAATGGTTATACTCTTATAGTAATAGCGACGTACTTTAAAAGCATAAAATTGATGCCCGCGAAGTACGACATATAGTCTACCTAAAATAGCAAGAGCTTCTTCCTTTTTGGTGGATAAATTCTTGCAACCTGCGTTTTGGCCACGCCTACCTCCCTTTCCAACCATCGATATTTCGATATATCGATATAGGCCAAAACGCAGGTTGCAAGAATTTATCCACCAAAAAGGAAGAAGCTCTTGCTATTTTAGGTAGACTATATGTCGTACTTCGCGGGCATCAATTTTATGCTTTTAAAGTACGTCACTATTACTATAAGAGTATAACCATTATACTTATTTAGTATGGACTTACTTTAAACTAAAAAAGCATTATTTCATACTTTAATAGGTAAACAAAATTGTATACTAATAAAGGATAAAGCAGTTTGGTGCTAAAATAGTTAGTTTGTTTTTTCCGTGCAGGGTTGCCAGATTCTTCCGCGACCGACCCGCCAATATTACAGGAAAAAACCGCCACTTATTTAAATATACTGTATATTTATAATTTTATATAAAATTATATATACTAAAAAACATCATTTTTTTAGGTCGAAGCGTAGATTTACATATTTTACAATATGCTTCCCCTTTGCCCAAATGCACTAAGGTTTCAGGCGTTCTCTGCAACCAACCTATGTGTATGTACAAAATGACAAAATTATAAATTTTATTTACAGTCCTCACAAATGCATTATTTTATATTAATAAACGATATAATTGTATTTTATTTTCCCGTGTGTTCTATTTTTATTTTTATTTAATATGATAAAACAAATGCAAGTGTGCGCGACTAACCTTTAAATTATTTACATACTACAATCACATGTGAACGGCGCGCCGGCTTCGTAGGCCATGAACTTAGAAGTCGTTAGAATTAGAACAGCTGATCTATAATGTCTTTGGTTAGGCGCAAAAAGCTTTAGCAACCTAAAGGTAGATTCACCGGGTTTTGAGTACTTTATTACAGCGCCTGCGCTTGCATGCAGACAGGCAGCGACCCAGAGCCTGACAGACATAAGAAAAATTTATGATATACAGCAATATCGACCAATTTGCGGGTGCTTTCATTAAATCCGCCCAATTAGCGGTTTACCGCAAAACCCAATTTTTACCCGCCAATTGAGCCTTCAAATCCGCCCAATTGGCGGGAAACCGCCCAATCTGGCAACCCTGATGATGAGGTCCTAAGATGTTTCTGTGGCTCGGACTGGAGGAGCCTTGATCACCTCTGATCTTTTATTGTCCGTTATTGGCTTTGACTAGACAAAGATTTGTTGACTTCCTGAAACGTAGAAGACTCAACGTGGTTCCGACCGAGATCTCCTTGGACGAGTTCATTTTCGCACCAGACGTGGAGACTGATAGAGAGTTTTGTAACCATCTCTGTTCCTTGGAGTATGTAATCTAACAGTATCTTTGAACTCATGTCATTCTTTGACCCATTCATGTGGATGTTCTTGCCGATTAAACTATCCACTATGAAGCTCCTTTTATAGGCAGGACCTAAGTAATAAGATCAGTGTAATTGAGAGTTGAACATTCCACTGGAGACCGGATGGTGGCTCACTGTGCTTACACCTTGTTTTTGCTTTTCTTCTGATTGTTTATTGTTCTGACAGTTGGCTGAGCCTCAAGTCATTAAGTAGAAGAAGAAGAGTACCAGCTCTCTCTAATTTACAAAATTTACGTACAGATGACAATTGAGTTGCATAAAGAATCACTGCGGGTATCCCTGAAGTGTGGGCAGATACGGCTGGTATCAGGTGTAGATAATGACCACACAAGAATGTTGTCAGGCCTCAGTGATGTACTCAGGTTTCAAGTTATAAAACGAAATCTTTAAGTTGCTACAATTAAGGTTGAGAGTGCCTAGCGAGCGCACAGTGTATTATTTTTGCAATTTCATGTTCAAAACCTAATGTCTCTTGAACAAATTGACCAAATTGAATGAACCTTGGACCAAAATAAAGCTAAATAAATGTAGAATAGAGGAAAATTATAGGGAACCCTAGATTTATTTTTTTGAGCTCCTGTGAGTCGAGTGAAGTTAGCATTTTTTAGGAAAAAATGGTAAATTGAAGTATACAAACCGGTATATCATGGTAAAACTTAATAAAACAACTTTTTTGTAAGCATTTAGGATCACTGAATACAAAACTAAAGTTCATTTTTCAAAATTCTAAATGGCGAATTCAAAATGGCGGTCTAAAACAATGCAATTTTGAAACAAAAATTTTTTTGTTCAAACTGTGGTATTTTAATGTTTTTGAGGTCGCTGAATCCAAATATGATGATAAAATTTAAAAATTCAAAATGGCGGACCCAAAATGGCGGACGAAAATTTTTCAAAGTGCTTAGATTTCAACGAGACTTGGTACTTTAACGTTTTCGAGGTCGCTGAATTCATATATGATGGTAAAATTTGAAAATTCAAAATGGCGAATCCAATATGGCGAACAGAAAAATTTAAAAAGTGCTTAGATTTCAATGATACTTGGTACTTTAACGTTTTCGGGGACGCTGAATTCAAATATGATTACAAAATTTAAAAATGCAAAATGGCGGATCCAAAATGGCGGACAAAATATTTATAAAATTCTTAGATTTCAACGTAGCGTAGTGTTTTATTATTTTTCTAGTCACAGACTTCAAATATAATGCTCAATATGAATATATAGAAAAAAAATTTATAATCATTACGCTTCGTTGAAATCTAAGAATTTTATAAATATTTTGTCCGCAATATTGGATCCACCATTTTGCATTTTCAAATTTTACCATCATATTTGAATTCAGCGACCTCGAAAACGTTAAAGTACCAAGTCTCGTTGAAATCTAAGCACTTTGAAAAATTTTCGTCCGCCATTTTGGGTCCGCCATTTTGAATTTTTAAATTTTATCATCATATTTGGATTCAGCGACCTCAAAAACATTAAAATACCACAGTTTGAACAAAAAAATTTTTGTTTCAAAATTGCATTGTTTTAGACCGCCATTTTGAATTCGCCATTTAGAATTTTGAAAAATGAACTTTAGTTTTGTATTCAGTGATCCTAAATGCTTACAAAAAAGTTGTTTTATTAAGTTTTACCATGATATACCGGTTTGTATACTTCAATTTACCATTTTTTCCTAAAAAATGCTAACTTCACTCGACTCCCAGGAGCTCAAAAAAATAAATCAAGGGTTCCCTATAATTTTCCTCTATTCTACATTTATTTAGCTTTATTTTGGTCCAAGGTTCATTCAATTTGGTCAATTTGTTCAAGAGACATTAGGTTTTGAACATGAAATTGCAAAAATAACACACTGTGGAGCGGTGATACCGAACGCATCTTGTGTTGTGAAAAAGCGAAAATCCATGCTACACGCCTGTTTTTAACTGTGTACATTTTAAGATATCTGTTCTCAAAGAAAAACAGTTTGTTGTCGTGAAGTGGCCTTTAAATTCTTGTGCTTTGTTACTCTTAAAACAAATATCCTCCAGTTACTATGACTTGTCAAATCTAGCTGCGTAAAAGACGTGCTACGATAACCCTCACACCAAAAACACAAATACACCACCACATTCAACATCAAACAAAGACATTCATCCACCAAATTCGAACACTAATAACAACTCTGCTTTCAAACTTACCTATGACAACGCTTTAAAATCAAATTGCACGATATTCATACAACACGATCCTAAATCAACCGATTTCAAAAAAGATCTCGGTCCTATTTCTGTCGGTCGTCTTTTACGCTCACTATTCCCTAACCAAATAGTTAAAATAAATCAAAACAGCCGCGGTAAGGTAAGGGTTATCGTTAAATCCCGTCAAGCTACGTATGCGATTCTTAATCACTCGGAATTAAAATCTAAAGGATTGATTGCTGTCATCCCTGCAAGCTTCCTTAAGGTGCTTTTATACCACCAGTATTTTGGTCAAGCAATCAGCTGAATTGGATTTTCATGGTTGTATCACTCAATTTGAATGGCTCTGACAAATATTAGATTTTCACCGTGAAAATTGAATTTTGTTAGAGCCAATGAAATTCAGTGATTCTCCGTGAAAATTAAATCCAGCCGATTGCTTGACCAAAATATTAGAGGTATAAAAGCACCTTTACTTGTCACGGAATCATGAAGAATGTCGACACTGACATTACAATCGATGAAATTATTGTACATGGTGAGGTTATGGGTCCTCACGTCAATAAAATTAAAATTCTCCAAGGCCGACGTCTTAATCAAAAAACTTACAATCAAAAGACAAAAGAAGTTAAATATATTTCATCCAAATCAGTTCCTCTTACCTTTCAAGGCACAGTCCTCTCTCAGAGAGTAGCAGTATACAAGGGTTCCAGCCCTATTCGATCCTACTTTCCAGATTCTCGTATGTTCTTCGCCCTAAGAAATCGGCTATTGAATGGAATTCTTTTAAATTTTCCAACTTTCCTCAACTAGGTGAACCCCCAGCTCCTTCTTTCACAAATCATAACTCTTCTCAAAGATTTTTTTCAGACATCACAAGTCTTTCTTCTCGACAGCAGAAAAATTCGAGGGCCACCATCAACAACCCTCCAATTTCAACTCCTTCTCAACTGCGTAAAAGAACCAATTCTTTTTTTGCTACTCAATGGAACAATGGAAGAAGCAATTCCGATCTTCCTAATGGCTTCGCGCTATTCTCTACTTTATTCCAATCTCATTTTCCACTTCCTTCACCTGACACAAATCCTTATCCCCGTCCTCACAACTTTGAATCTTCTTCTTCTCATCTTATCTCCATCATCAACAACTATACGATATATATTGTCGAAATTACTGGGAAAATTGTCATGGAATACAGTAGGGGGATAGAGTTCGTCCACAAGAGAGTGACGTAACTGGTCTAGAAAAACTCCGTAATCAGGCATTAAGATTAGTCCTAGACTACAGACGAAGCACACCCATTAACGTAATGTTAGCGGAATGCTGTGAACCTTCCTTAAGATCAAGATTCAATTTTCTAGCTAAAAAATATCTGTTCAGAGTCTATTCAACTTCTTCTTACCCTCTTTAGCTAAACTTTCAGAACGAAACACATAGCGAATTAATAAGGAGCAGGGATCCTGATCCAAATTTCGAATTCCTCTACGTAGATCACTTATTCACTCTCCATATTATTACTAATTGAGGCAATTCACTCCAAGACACACCAAACGCTTTAATTCTTTTTAATTCTTAAGGCGCTTGTACACCTCACGAATTCTAAGTATCCTCGGAATTTGTCAGAAGTTTCACTAACTTTGATTGGCTTTGCTCATAGAGAATATCGAAATTTTCCTATCTTTTTGAAATTCTCCATGAGCAAGGCCAATCAAAATTAGTATAACTTTTGACAAATTCCGAGTATACTTAGAATTTGTGAGGTGTACAAGCGCCTTTACTTCCCCAATCACACTCTATTTTTCATCGACGGCTCTAAATCAGAAAAAGACCATTTGGCTAGTTGCGCTCTAGTCTGCCCCTCTTTAAACCTAACCTTTCCAACACCATTATTTGCACAGATTCTCTTAGTGTTCTCAATAATTTAAAATCCACAAGTATTTACAAAATCAAATCTTACATAGTCTTTACTATTAGAAACCGATTGAACATTCTTTATGATTTAAAACGTCCAACAACCCTAGTATGGATCCCCGGTCACGCAGGAATCGAAGGTAAAGAGGAGACAGATAGGGCAGTTAGAGAATCGTCAACCAATTCCACTGAAGTTAACATTCCACTAGCATTTTCTGACTTCTTTTATATAGCGCGTAAACAATTATCAGATAGTTGTACTTCACACTACCTACACTTAGGAAAAATCAAAGGTATTCAATACAGCCAATACTATGTACTTGAAACCCAGAAAGAAACCGTGGTTTGCGAATTTCGAAGCTCGCAGACCATGGATCACTACAATTTGCCGCCTAAGATCCACTCATTATAATTTGAATGCCAGCTTGGGAAGAAAAAATTATATTAAATCGGGTGACTGTCCCAACGTCGAGGAGGATTTCGACCACATTCTCTGGTCTTGTCCCAGGTATAACTCATTCCGGCTGGACCTAATAAAAGCTCTTTCTAGGGCTCTAAAATGTCCCCCTCCTTTCAGCTCAGTTCAATTTCTCACTAACCCTACTCCCAGAGTTGTCTTTCATGTGTTTAGATTTTTAAAATGGATAAATATAAAGATTTGATTTAATAACTATTTCTGATTTGCTTTTATTCTTTACCTACTCTGCATCTCAGGAGCTCAAGAGAGAAAGTTTTGTCGGAAACTTTTCTTTCTCGCTCAACAGTAGAGTAACTTGGAGCTGCGGTTCCCTTCGGCAAAGTACTCTGTGGAATTCCTCCTCTTTATTAAATTAACTTTCTTTTCTTCTATTTCAAATATACCGCTCTTTCTATTTTCTCAGTCTTACGTTCTCAGCGTATACATACGTATATTCACTCTTAAGCAACATCCATTCCACAGGTCATGGCCAGATATAGGCAGGCGCAAGCCAGTATAGTTCCAACGTTAAACAAACTTAAATTAACAATTAAGGTTATGCAAAAACATGGACAGATGTATTTATTTCAAGAAAGTGAAGTATGATGTAAGAATGAACTACACTGGAACCTCCAACCATTACAACGCGCGAGTCTTATGTGCAATGGATGGAGGTTATCCTTGACGTCAAGGTTATGTCATAAAGTGGAAACACTCAGGGCCGTACATATTATATACTTATATGTATTGGATATATGTTCGCATAAAAATTGAGATTAATTTAATTCTTTATAAAGTGGAAAAATATAAATATAACTACGTACATTTAAATTATAATAATGCAGTTTATAATATCGATAACTCCGATCGATTGTTTAAATTAGAAAAAAGGAAAAAGAAACTGGGTCTAAAAGAACTCGTAACTGTGACGTTACTGCTTTTTCTTGACTGACGCCATTTTTTCCCGTCTGACTCTTTTTGCCGCTGCCCACCAAGTTTTAATAAACAACTGCAATGATCACAGATGCAATGGTTGGAGGTTCCAGTGTATATCACAAATTTTATTTAATATTAAAGTCAAGCAAGTTGATACTTTATTCGGTAAAAAGTTACAATTTTATATAAATAACTTAGAGTTAACATTTGAAATCTACTAATTTTTAAAAAATCACATTATTTACTGGAAAATTTTGTTAATTCCTGTTTAATAGCATCAATTATTGGTATTGCAGGATCTTCAGTAGGTAAATTACAATTAGCTGAAAGACTAATTTTACTTATTTCCGATAAGTTTGGTCTGTGAAATGGGCCGGCACTTAGTGGTCGCGCTCCCCATGTCCCACTACAATGTTGTTCTACCTTACTACTTTCCTGAACTGATTCTCCTAATTTTGTGCTGGTAATACTTGATTTTGGTTGTGAATTAGTGATATTTAATTCACTTACTTCATCCCTATAACAAATAATTACTATTAATTGAGTAGCACAGAAATAATGAATCAGGAATTCGTTTTCATAATTACGTATAAATAAATACCAAAATTTAGATCTAACTTTATCTTTACAATTTGAACCTAATTAATTATATTAGCTGTGCATTTTTTTAGAGTAATAAATTGTAACTAAAATTTACCCTCTGTTCGTTTTGAGTATTAATACATATTCTTGTCACTTATTAATTTTATAACTAGCATATTACAAACTTTTCTTCTATAGTAAATTAACTAATAATTAGACAATATTAAAGAACATCGTAGTGAAGGTTAAAAATATATTTTTTTCATATTTTAAATTAAATGTATTATAAATATGTTATTATTACCTCAATCTGAAATGGTTTGTGGGAAATTGTGATAATTGCGTGGTCCTGGGAGATATTTTTTCGGAGACAGATTGATGTTTATCAGTTTGAAAATTTGTCATTTCTGTTTCTTTGCTACCCGCATAACTCCAAGAATCTTCTAAAAGTTCATGTAGTCTCTGCCTCGCTTGACCAACTGAAACAAAACAAATCAATAACATCTCTTAAAATCTTGGTTACAATTCAACTGAGTTATATCAAAACAAATGTATAACATCTCTTAAAATCTTGGTTACAATTCAAATAAGTTATATTTTTCTCTTTTAAAACAGATATTTAATTTCGTAACTTTTCATTTTTTGTTTTAATTTGAACATTCAAAATTATGTTTTCAAATTTAAATTATATAATTAATTACGATGTCTTATTATTATAATCCTCTCATTTTTGATAAGAAAATTGTATAATTTTTTTATCCCTAGATAAGAAATAATGTTTCCTGTAGATTAATTAGATTTTCTTTATTTGCTTTAGAGAAGAAATAACGTGTATTCTATTAGTTGTTTATTATTCTATCTAATTATTTTATTCATTGTCGTATATTCATCAAATCTATAAATGAAGTACTTTAATTTTTCTTCAGTTCATATTTTATCTGAAAACAGTTCAATATTTTGTAATACCTTGCATGTTGTGACAACATTAAAAAGTAAATAAAATTTGTTATTATTAGAGAAAGTTACAGAAACAGAGAATAATCTAAGAAAATGAAATATATTAGTTAAAATATAGATGTAAAAATCTAGTTCAATTTGAACATTACGGGTAGGACAGAATGATTAAAAGAATGAAACTTAAATCTCGCTTCAAGATCATTATTCCATCCATAAAGGAAAGGAACAAAGGTTCCGTAAATCTGTCGGCATAAGAGTATCATAATCATCAGGCAAATACACCACTATCTGATGAACGAAAGTCTCCCTACACGGAGAGAAAAAACGAGCCTTTACAGCATGGACCTATGTATGCTCTCTTCGTACGCGCCTCTATCGTCCATCTTCGGTACCATCTCTTGCTGTAGTAGCTCGGCTCCTTACTATTTTAGTACGGGCAAGTGAAAATATAGTATAAGGTCGTACCGAAGATGGACGGTAGAGGCGCGTACGAAGAGAGCATATATAGGTCCATGCTGTAAAGGCTCGTTTTTTCTCTCCGTGTACAGAAAATTCCTACATACATTACTACGTAGGATCCTACATGGGATCCCATATAGTGTCTTTTATAAAAACCCTTATGAAATTCCAGGTTCGCGTAAGAATCCAAATGTAAAATTTTGACACGATTTGCAGTATAATTTCATGTGGAAATTTACTATTTTGTTTCAGAAACTTATATGGATTCCTACATTATTTCCTATAATGTTTCTAGCATATTATTTTTGTCAATTCCCTATGTAAATTTTCTTCATAATTAACACATCAAATCTTACAAAAACTATCATTTAAAATTCTTAAGATTGTGTACGTTTTTGGCCTTGGAGACCCATGTAACCTCTTAAAGTTGAAAAATAAAAAATATTTAGAAAAATAATTTATAAAATGTTGAATTTACTTCAATAATTTGTTACCATTACTTATAATTAGAGCTGTGCAAAAGTTCGAATTTTGTATGTGCTCGGATCGAATATTCGATTCGAGCCCATGTTAATTCTTATGGAGCAGTTCGAATTTTAAAAGCTTGCACAGCTCTACTTTTAATACCCACGTGAAAAGGTTCCCGGAATTTTTGCAGAGTGACTCTGGGAGTAGTTCCCAGAACATTCTGAGAACATTCCCGGAATTTTTTTGGTTTTTTCCCAGAATTCATGGAATTTTTGTTTCAATCAAGTAACTGATACTCCGGGATGACTCCAACGTACATCCAGATATCCAGGAGTCAATTGGACAACTTCTCCAGGGAATTTTAGCTGTAATCAAAAAATCGATACTCCAGGATAACTCCAACGAACATCATGATGACTAGGAGTCAATTGGACAACTTCTCTGGAGAATTTTCGTTTTAACCAAATAATCCAGTTTCTATGACAACTCCAACGTACATCCAGATACCCAGATGTCAATTGGGCAACTTCTCCAGGGAATTTTAGCTGTAATCAAAAAATCGATACTACAGGATGACACCATAGTACATCATAATGACTAGGAGTCAATTGGACAACTTCTCTGGGGAATTTTAGCTGTAATCAAACAATCGATACTCCAGGATGACTCCAACGAACATCATGATGACTAGGAGTCAATTGGACAACTTCTCTGGGGAATTTTAGCTGTAATCAAACAATCGATACTCCAGGATGACTTCAACGTACATCATGATTACGAGGAGTCAATTGGGCAACTTCTCCAGGGAATTTTAACTGTAATCAAATAATCGATACTCCAGGATGACTCCAACGTACATCATGATTACTAGGAGTCAATTGGGCAACTTCTCCAGGGAATTTTAACTATAATCAAATAATTGATACTCCAGGATGACTCCAACGTACATCATGATGACTAGGAGTCAATTGGGCAACTTCTCCAGGGAATTTTAACTATAATCAAATAATTGATACTCCAGGATGACTCCAACGTACATCATAATGACTAGGAGTCAATTGGACAACTTCTTCAGAGCATTTTAGCTGTAATCAAATAATCGATACTCCAGGATGACTCCAACGAACATCATGATGACTAGGAGTCAATTGGGCAACTTCTCCAGGGAATTTTAACTGTAATCAAATAATCGATACTCCAGGATGACTCCAACGTACATCATGATTACTAGGAGTCAATTGGGCAACTTCTCCAGGGAATTTTAACTATAATCAAATAATTGATACTCCAGGATGACTCCAACGTACATCATGATTACTAGGAGTCAATTGGGCAACTTCTCCAGGGAATTTTAACTGTAATCAAATAATCGATACTCCAGGATGACTCCAACGTACATCATGATTACTAGGAATCAATTGGGCAACTTCTCCAGGGAATTTTAACTATAATCAAATAATTGATACTCCAGGATGACTCCAACGTACATCATGATGACTAGGAGTCAATTGGGCAACTTCTCCAGGGAATTTTAACTATAATCAAATAATTGATACTCCAGGATGACTCCAACGTACATCATAATGACTAGGAGTCAATTGGACAACTTCTTCAGAGCATTTTAGCTGTAATCAAATAATCGATACTCCAGGATGACTCCAACGAACATCATGATGACTAGGAGTCAATTGGGCAACTTCTCCAGGGAATTTTAACTGTAATCAAATAATCGATACTCCAGGATGACTCCAACGTACATCATGATTACTAGGAGTCAATTGGGCAACTTCTCCAGGGAATTTTAACTATAATCAAATAATTGATACTCCAGGATGACTCCAACGTACATCATGATTACTAGGAGTCAATTGGGCAACTTCTCCAGAGAATTTTAACTGTAATCAAATAATCGATACTCCAGGATGACTCCAACGTACATCATGATTACTAGGAGTCAATTGGGCAACTTCTCCAGGGAATTTTAACTATAATCAAATAATTGATACTCCAGGATGACTCCAACGTACATCATGATGACTAGGAGTCAATTGGGCAACTTCTCCAGGGAATTTTAACTATAATCAAATAATTGATACTCCAGGATGACTCCAACGTACATCATAATGACTAGGAGTCAATTGGACAACTTCTTCAGAGCATTTTAGCTGTAATCAAATAATCGATACTCCAGGATGACTCCAACGAACATCATGATGACTAGGAGTCAATTGGGCAACTTCTCCAGGGAATTTTAACTGTAATCAAATAATCGATACTCCAGGATGACTCCAACGTACATCATGATTACTAGGAGTCAATTGGGCAACTTCTCCAGGGAATTTTAACTATAATCAAATAATTGATACTCCAGGATGACTCCAACGTACATCATGATTACTAGGAGTCAATTGGGCAACTTCTCCAGGGAATTTTAACTGTAATCAAATAATCGATACTCCAGGATGACTCCAACGTACATCATGATTACTAGGAGTCAATTGGGCAACTTCTCCAGGGAATTTTAACTATAATCAAATAATTGATACTCCAGGATGACTCCAACGTACATCATGATGACTAGGAGTCAATTGGACAACTTCTTCAAGAAATTTTCGTTTTAACCAAATAATCGAGTTTCTATGACAACTCCAACGTACATCCAGATACCCAGATGTCAATTGGACAACTTCTTAAGGGAATTTTTGTTTCAAACTGATTATTAATAATTAAAAGAATTATAAACTTGGATTTAATTTTTATGATTATTTAATATTAGGATTCTCACAAAATTATTGTTGTCCCACTTTACTTTACCGAAGGGGTGAAAATCGAAAAAAAGGGTTGATTTTGAAAAAAATGGGTCAAAATTTTTTTTTTTTAATTTAGTATACATTTTTGAAAAGTACGTGAAAAATGCATCAAAATTCATTATAGATAAATTAAAATCCATTAACTTTTGTCATAGTTATACGGATTTGAAAATGACAATGTTACCCTTAACGTCATATATTGTCATATATTGTTAAAGAGACTTCTATTAAATAAGAAATTTCGTCTTCTCGTTTTTGCCCCACTTTAGTAGTCAATTTACTAAAAATACATATGAGTTTAACAAAAAGTAATACTTAAATTTTCTTTGTGTAAAATTCTCTGAAGAAGTTGACCAATACACTCCTGAGTATCCGGATGTACGTTGGAGTTGTCTTAAAAACTCGATTATTTGGTTAAAACGAAAATTCCCTGAAGAAGTTGTCCAATTGACTCCTAGTCATCATGATGTACGTTGGAGTCATCCTGGAGTATCGATTGTTTGATTACAGCTAAAATTCCCCAGAGAAGTTGTCCAATTGACTCCTAGTCATCATGATGTTCGTTGGAGTCATCCTGGAGTATCGATTTTTTGATTACAGCTAAAATTCCCTGGAGAAGTTGTCCAATTGACTCCTGGATATCTGGATGTACGTTGGAGTCATCCTGGAGTATCAATTACTTGATTGAAACGAAAATTCCATGAATTCTAGAAAAAAACCAAAAATTTTCCGGGAATGTTCTCAGAATGTTCTGGGAACTACTCCCAGAGTCACTTTGCAAAAATTCCGGGAACCTTTTCACGTGGGTACCCGAACAGGTTTCTTTGACTAACAAATTAACATCTCATTATAAGTCTAATCTTGTATTATGACAAAGAAAATCTACGTACTTTCTATACAATTGTTGCTTTTTAAATTCCAAACAATTGGACCAATTGCTCCAGGATCATCTCTTGCACTGTAAAATCTACTCCAGAATTTTCGTACCATTTCACTTCCAGGTACTTTAGTTGCTTGAAGATCTAGTGAATCCAATTCAATATCTGCTTCTTTCATCTGTAAGGCAATAAAATATGTTTGCTTATAGAAACCATTTGTTCATTAACGATTAACTTATTGGAAACATAAACTTTAATATATAGTTACTCCGAATTTATGTAATCAACGCGAAAAGGGGTTACATTAAAGACATTAATTTCTCCCACTGAATAAAAATTGGTTCCATTTTTATTCTATAATACCCCTACAGCACCGAAACTTTCCTAAAGATTACCTAAAAATTTATTTGAAATGTTCGGAATATTTAATTGCAATGCTTAGTGACATTTAAAAATTTAAATTTCCCGATTAAATAAATGTTTAGTGTGAAACTTCCCTGAACATTTATTCAAGTGGGACATTTAAATCTTTACACAATTTTCACTAAACATTGCAATTAAATATTCCGAACATTTCAAATAAATCATTAGAAAGGTTTCGATGCTGTGGCGGGTTCAAGTCACATATCAAATATATAATTTTACGTTTATTGACGTTAACGATCGAGCCATGATTGCCATGTGATCGATAAGCACACAGTTTTACGGCGTCCCGTCAAATGCATGCGTTCCTTTTCCCATGGATCTCCAGGCTCAAATCGATAACGAAATGAACCCTAAATATCGACTTTATTCAAAATTTGAGTGTTAAGTTTCTATAAAATAATTTTCTGTTACAGTACCATTTATCAAAAATAATAATAATAAACATATACTACTTCTACTACCGCCCTTGGAGAGTTTAATACTGCTTTGTAAAAAAATGTCTTACCGCAATAGTTTCTAACACTTTTGATAAAGGTTCCACACTTTTTACGGTAGGAAATTTTTTACATGATTTCATAGACAGATATGAACATGGGGAAGTTGTAACTTTTTTACCCACTGATTTTTGAAAACCATCAGGTATAGATATGTTAGATTTTAGAAATGATTTCAGTTGATCAGGCCCCGAGTCCGTTGTAGTTTCTTTATCTCCATATCTAAAAATAAATATAATATATTAAATGATTTATTAGACCTAAGATTGTTAGTTTCGTTGTCGAATTCGGAAAATTCGGGTTTAAACTATTTTTAGTATTTAAACATATGCAATTTATTACCTATATTTTTCTATTATTGAAGTATCCTCTTTTTGATATATAGGAGTATTATTTTTGGAAAGTAAATTATTTTTAGTGCTACATATATTTTCATTTGTCATATCATTACTTGAATCATCTAACGAATCGGAGTTATTCGGTGTAATCATGGTTACAAATCGTCTATTCGGCGAATAGGATTGGCTGGTTGCAATTGTCTAAAAGAAAGCAAATGTTAAAGCACTTATAATATTTTACAAAAATTATTATATACAAGAGTTTTTTATAACGTTTTATTTAATTATTATGTTTAACGGGGGGGGGGGGGTATGGTATTAAATTTCTTTTTTTTAAATGAATGTATAATATTTTAAGAATATTGTGTAAAAATTTCAAGCCATCTCCTTTAACAAAAAAAGATTTATTTTTTGATTTAGATGATTCTGTTGCGAGTTACGTTGAACAGCGCAAATTCATTGTCTTACGAACCAATTGAAAGAGATTTACTGCCATTCATTCAATTTGCAATATTTTTCAATGAGAATTTAGGAAAATATACTTTAAATATTGTATTAATATGGGGAAATTAAGTTAATGAAGTAACACACTTTATATCACCAAGAAAAATTATTTAAAAAGTGCCTATTTTACATCGAATTTACCATACCCTCCCTTAAATGAACGTGATTAGTAAGGTAACATTCAAGTAGAAAACCTGCTAAGAAGGAGTGGATTAAAATGGACAAAAGTGAATGTCTCAATTAAATAAATGTTCAGGAAAGCAGGGACTGACACGGAAACGAAACAAAACAAAATTTCACACTAAACATTTATTTAATCGGGACATTTAAATTTTTACACAATTTTCACTAAACATTGCAATTAAATATTCCGAACATTTCAAATAAATCTTTAGGAAAGTTTCGGTGCTGTGGGGGTTCTGTGAAGGAATTCCTTCTTTTAATTTAAAAAAAAACATTTGATTTTTCTTATAAAATATTGTACTTTTCAAATTTTTTACATTTTTATGTTTTCTACAGCAACTATTCATAACCAATTTGAATAACTTCTATAGAAACTAAAAAAGTGAAAAGTAACTAATAAATAGTTTTAAAAAATAAGGATACGTACATCTCTTTCAGTTTCTGAAGTACATATTACATAATCTTGATCAAGTCCCTTTGACATGTATTCTTTATTATTCCTTATATTATTTTGATTTACAGTTGAAGCAACTGGATTTGAACTTTTCTTTTTTAATACAGGAATTAAAATTATAATAATGATTATGAAAAGCAGTATTGAAATTCCAGCAGCGCCCGTCAAAATAAATACATCTCTTTTTCTTGATAATGCTAAGGGTTTCGTTGTATTTAAATAAGCTAATATAAAATTTACCAATTAATTTATTATGAAGGCAACATTAAAATCTAAAATAAATAATTACTAAATTTTAATATCACATATCAGACAAAAACATCTAAAATTTTTTAAACATATCAGTGGAAGACCTTCACATCATCGATATGCTACCCGTGCAAAAATTGACACTTTTCATCCCGATTTCCTGTTCTGGTCCCAGGTTAGTAAATTTCTATAGGCCCGACCAGGGCCAGGTCTGGTTTCCATATTTAAAATTTTTTAAAAACTAGTGAAAATACATTATATGACATTTTTTTCTCTCTAAATCTGAATTAGTAAAAATGTTTACTAATTTGAATTAGTGACTCGCTTTTTGCTTATGAATTAGAAATTTTTTACTAATTATTAGTAACTTTTACTAACAATTAGTAACATTTAACTAATTCTAAAGCAAAAAGTGAGTCTCTCTTAAATTTTACTAATTCATAAGCAAAAAGTGAGTCACTAATTTAAATTAGTAAACATTTTTACTAATTCAGATTTAGAGAGTAAACGAAACAATTATTCAAATAATTTTTTTCAACTTTTCAACTGGAGCATGGCCCCAGTCGGGTTCCCTGTTTCATTTCGATCGAGCCCAGATCAGGTTGCCAGATCTGGTCCCGGTCGTGCCTGGTCTGGGCCCGACCAGGGCCCGGTCAAATTTTCTGCACGAGTAAGGCCAGTCTTTGTATTTTTTTAAAAAACTGGGTCAAATAAAGATATTTCAATTTAAAGATTTATTCTCCATGTAAATTGTTGTCAAATTATATATGTTATACCCTTTGACTTTTTATATAAACCTAACCATATAGTCCCCTTGAGTCCACAAATTGCGACTGTAGCTGTTGTCTGCAGTAAACACCCACATTTGCTTGGTCTTTTTGGACAAAGTAGAGGGAAAATGTAGAAAAAAATCTCTCTAATCTCCCTTGCAAGTTCGAACTCACCATCATGTTAAATATTTCTTAACCAAAACCATGGAATAGTATAAGGAGACCGAACATTGAAAGTGAACCAAATTTTGGTAACCGCTTAGTGCCATGAAAATACGTAATGGAACACAAGCGCTCTCGTGGGAAGTATGTAAACAGTGGGAAAAATTAGAAGTACATTGAACATAACCCAAAAATACATTGCTCCTTAGTTTTAAAACTTTTACAATGGCTGACTGTCCAGCTGAGTTTGACACAATCAGTGGCGCTAGTGTTCCATTACGTATTTTCATGACACTAAGCGCTTACCAAAATTTGGTCCACTTTTAACGCAGATTTAACATGGTCGTTCGGTCTCCTTATACTACTCCATGACCAAAACTAAATCATCGGATAAAATTTTACTAATATTTAAAAAAAATTTTAAAGGGCTAAAAAGTTTAAAACTAGAATTTTTAAATAACTTAGTTTTAGATGTAGAGATTTTCCTCTTTTATTCAATTAAACTTTAAATATTTTCTACTACAATTAAAAACTTTTTTTGAGACTACTATAAGAAACAAAATTTATAATACATGAAAAATATCAATTAACTCACGTGTACTTTGCACTAAAACGGGTGTTCCAAGTTCTAAAGCTACCTCTTGAGAAGATAACAGAGACATATCTTTTGCAGCTGTTTCAGCTGGAACTGGTTTTCCACCCAAATGAACCGAATAAATTAGCCTTAAATTACTGTTTTCAATAACAGCAATATCTTGCATTCTAACTTGAACCAAATCTAAGTTTTCCGGGCCACCATGTTTTGATGGTGTATTTTTAAATTTTAATTTCTCATAATTTCCAAGAAGTGATTCTTTTGATGTGTGCAGTGGGAAAGGAGTAGTTAATTGTAAAGTCGTAACATGTCCTCTGTTATAAGAAGCAATGTCAAATCCTACAGATGACAGTAAATTATATTTTGCATCTGTACTTTGTGAAATATTAAAATTTTCCTCTATATTGTCTGTCATATTTTCAGCCACTGATTTTTCAGCTGAGTTTTCTTTATGCATAGACAGTGGGTTAGTTTCTTTCCTTCTTAGTTTAATTAGTTGCATTAAATTTAATGCTGATTTTTGTTTCATTCTCATAGTTTTCCTTTTAGTTACAATATGATTGTCCTCATTTTTATTTACTGAAATTGTCACCTACAATTTTTTTTTAAAATTATAAGAAATTTATTTGTTACAAAACGTAAAAAAAGATGGAGCACATTCGTTCATAGATCACATTCTCTGCATTTATTATTGATAATAATATATTAAAATGTTTATGAATATTGTTAATTGAAGCATCTGTAATTAAAATTGACAATTTATGTATAGCAATTCAAAAACAATTATAATTTGTGAGAAGTTTATGTCTTTTAACTAATCCTGAGACAATGTACTACATCAAAATAAATATTTAAAAAATAAATTGGGATATCCCTACTGAAAATTCTCATGTAGGATCTTATGTAGGATCTCACATAAATTCATATATTAAAATCCACATAAAATCCTATGTGAAAAGTAAGAAACTATATAGGATCTTATGAAAAATCATATAGGAAATTGAGACATGATTTGAAGTGGGATTCGATGTAAATTCTTATAAACGTATTCTTAAGTAATAAATTATGTAAATTCCTATGTGAAATCCTCCAATTTTTCTGGTCCTATTTTTTCCTTCAAATCCTATATAGGATCCTACATAGGATCTCATGTAAGAATTAATCATATAGGAATTTATGTGGGATATCATGTGTGGATTTCATTGCTTTATTTGTCCATCTAAGATACCAAGTTGGAAATTATATGAGAAATTATGTAGGAAATAATATACGAAATTATATGGGAAATTTTAATATAGATGTAGATCATCATAGTTTCACTCTTACGCCGCCAGGTGGTGTTAATTTTTTTTCTCACAGTTGAGATCAGTCTTGAATACTATAAAAGCTGAGACTCTAACTCAGAAGGTGTATTAAAAAGCACAATTTTTTTTCTTTTCAGATGAATTGCAGTAATATTATTTGATTTTTAATTAAATAATTTTTAATTTTTATAAATTGCCGTCTGCCAACTGAAAATTCCTATATGAAATCCTATATTGTTTCCTTTATATAATTCTATGTGAAATCTTAAATATAGATATTTCAGAATCTACATGAAATCCTATATGATTTCTTATGTTCAAATCAATCATATATATGATCCCACGTGAGGATTTTTAATATGATTTCATGGCAGATTTTTTGTAATAATTTTTTATTCAAGAATCGAAAAAAGATTTGATGTATGATTTGATATAGGAAAATTTCTGGTTAAGGATTGAGCAATGATTTTTAGTATGTTTTTTAATGAGAAAACACGAAGGAAATTGACATAAGAAATTGAAGGAAAAAATGGGATCAGAAAAATTGTAGGATTTCACATAGGAATTTACATAATTTATTACTTAAGAATACGTTTATAAGAATTTACATCGAATCCCACTTCAAATCATGTCTCAATTTCCTATATGATTTTTGATAAGATCCTATATAGTTTCTTACATGAAACATAGGATTTTATGTGGATTTTAATATATGAATTTATGTGAGATCCTATATAAGATCCTACATGAGAATTTTCAGTAGGGATGCAAAGCAATCTATTCATCCTGTCAGAGATGTCTGGCTGAACACCTAAACATTTTTTATAAAAGCGGATGGAATATGATGTGGGTTTTCTTGGTTTAATCCTGGGTTGAGGAGAAGGACTTTTGGGGTCATAAAATGCTCTATTGTATGACTTATTGTTGTAGGATGGATAATGGAAATGACTGAGTCTCATGGCAAGAAAAAGGTCAGTATGAATAGAGTACGCGTCCAGTACGGGACTTGAAATAATAAGTAAGAAAGAGTGACGACAGAAATTGTTATGAGAAAAACTCCGGGATGACGATAGTACCGTCATAGGATATTCTCTCCATCGACGTATACGAGGAAGACGACAGTTGTTAATAAAAGCTACGTATAAAGTTGAAATTAAATATTGTATTTTTTCTTGATTAATTTTTGCCCCTAAAATAATTAAATTAACAATAATAAATACTAATTTCTTATAGAAAGCACCTATAAGAGTTTTTAATATAGGATACTTTCAAGGGATCCTTCAAGGAATTTCCAATAGGGTATTATGAACTGTAAACACGTTTATGTTCCATAAGATACTTTAGGTCCATTCAGATTGGACTCGTAGGTAATGAAAATTTAATAAAAGATCGAAAGATGAGCTAGAAGTTTACATGTTTTCACTTAAGTTACGATAGTGCAAACCTTGCACCATCATCAGGATTTAGAAGTTAGCTGTGTTAGCAATTTATGTACAAATGTACTCCATGTGAAAACATACATAAAGTATTTTTTTTGCAAAATGGTGAAATTATTGCCTATTCCAACAGCAATATCTTCTTGGAGTTGCATTGTGGGGGGGGGGCTAGATATATAGTCCCCTTCGCACAACTCAAAGTAGGTACTGTGGTTGAGATAGACGGTCCAAGTGTACTATTGCATGGGCACTCTCAATTATAAAATTTTCTTTAATAAATACTGAATATTGAATAGCAGTTTAAATGTGCCCCATCTCCATCTAAAAATAAATTAAACAGTACTTTTTACACACATAATTGGTTGTAGTTGTTATTTCCTGTATTTGATCTAAGGCAAAAGTTTTATTGTGAATCACTTGACGGCTTTCGTTTTCAGAAAGACCAAGGTGTCGTTGTTGTTGCCTCCTAAAAGCCAAATAATACAATCGAGCTAGTCTTAACTCAATTTTTGAAGGCACTCCTTTTCCATTCTGAAGAATTGTTATTAACCAGTATCTGTAAAAATTATAACAAATACATAATTAATTTATATAAATTTTTACAGAATATTCCCGGTAAGAAGCGAGAAATAAAGAAAGATTAAGAGTTTGCAGCTAGAAATAATTCATAAAACGAGAATTCTTAATTCTTGCAATCGACAGAGTCAAAATTTTCGAAGTTCATTAAGAAGGATGCGAAATTTTGAGATTTATTTCTTTTAACTGACTTCGACAGGTCATTAAGAATCCTTTCAGAAAAATAGAAAATTTGAAATGTAAATTTATCTGAACCTTATGAGTTTTTAGAAGTTTCTTATAATTAAATTAATATATAATTTGCATTTTAGATTAGTGTCAAGCCAATTCAGAGGAATATAAATTGATACTAATTTGTTTTACTTTTCTTATTATTTTCAATCCGCGTTTTAAAATATAGTCAAGCCATTTTAAAATATTTTTTAAGTTTTAGAAGATACAAAATTCCCACGTTGTTTAAAATCTTCACACTTAGAATTAAGGCGCTCGCACACCTCGCAGAAAACGTACAAGAGTAAGAGAGACAGAAAATTCAAATTTAAATCTACTGACTCTCTGATTGGCTCTCACTCGTGTGCATGTACCTTGAGTGCGCCCTTACGCTTGAAAAATCCACTTCGATTTTTGCGCAGTTAAGTTTTTTGATTTTATCTTATATCACTAACCTTGGTCCCGGATCATCTCCAATAAGGACACCAATATTTTCTTCACCTTCTAATGAAGTGGAAGTTAAGTTTATACAAGCTTTACAAAATGGAATATCATTTTTAGAATTAAAATGTGTGTTGAATGAACTTTCATTAAATCCTTTTTTACTTTCATTCAGAATATTGGTATTTGATAATGGATTTTCGAAAAACATTAATAGTTGCTTCAGCATTATCCAAGAAGGAGCATCATTTACTCCAGTCCAAAAAAAATTGCTCAAATATACACGATGTCCTGATAGATGATCGATAAAAACTACTTCTTTTTCTACAAATTAACAAAGAAAACAATAAATATTATTTAATAACGGTGTTCCGCAGTGGTAGCCTAGCCAGCTTGTTTCTTCAATTTTAATAAGATTTTTTTTGCAAATCAAACGATTGTCTCAAAATCTGAAAAATACGAGGTATCCTAAAGTGTTGTTCTAAAATGGATCAATTGGTTTTAATAGTCTCCTATCACTTTTTTTAGAAAGGAAAATTAATTTTATCAAATAATATCTGACGTAAATACTGCCGTACGAAGGAAAAACTTAAGTAAATGACATTGTAGCTTAGGCGGATTTTTGTGGGTTTATCTATACTACTGAAATACCGACCAAAGCGACAATGTCGTTTATCAATAAGTTTAATTCTTTCGTACGGCAGAATAAATCTCGGTGCGCATGCCAAATCTCTAATGTGAATTGTTCAAAATATAGAGAGACAAAATTTTATGAGCTAAAATTTTCCTTCAACCAAATCTTCATTTCTTCAAATTATCGTATGTCAGGAACAATACATGAACGAATTATTAAGAATTAAATTCTCAGAAATATGAATTTCATAAATGATAGAAATTTTAGTTAAAATATAATATTGATGAAAAAATGTTTACTGAATTTCTTTCCTGAAAAATTTTATATTCCTAGGAGTTTTCATTTATTAGAATTATTAATTAATTAATTATGTAACAAATATTTCAAATCATTTGAAAATATATATTATTAATATCTTTATATTAAAAAAATCATTTGATCATTTCGATTACGTATTAATTATGTGTTAAAAAATTTAACTAAAAAAAAGGAATCAAATTTCATCACTATTAAATAAAAATTTGATAACAGACGTTCTTTCAAATAAAGATTTGTCTAAATAATAATTTGTATACAAATAAAAGTTCAATTAAATACAAACTCCGTCAAATGAAAATTTCTTGAAATTGAAATTTGTATGTATGAAAATTCTTTTAATAAAAAAATTTGATATTTTTTATTAATTAAATTTTCTAGAAATTAAATTTATCATTAAAGGAATTTTCATTCATTAATCCTTTCAGGACCTGTGTTGCGTCCAGGCCAAAATGAGTTAAGAAATGAGTTCCTTGATTTTTATAACTAAATTTAATTTGGACCAATTTTTTTCATTTTGTGAAAAACTTTTGTTTAAAAATCAAAAATCGTGACTTTTTAAGAAATAATTTGGTCCTTAAAAACATAATCATTTCATCAATATTATTAAATATGAAATTGAATAAAATTGAATTAAAAATTATTATAAACAAGTTATAATTTGTTTATAAGTTATGTAGGACATGTATATACTTCCTGATACATGAAATTCTGTTTTCTGAATATTCTGAACAATCAACATTTAAGGCATCGGCATGCGCGGCTAAATCTCCAAACACGAAATATACATTGATGGAAATTCGGTAAACTTCTCTGCTGAATCTTTTTAATTAATCATAATGACAGATTTGCATAAGTTCTGCGAAATACAACAGAAAATAAAAGAAAATATCTATAGTGGACCTAATATAGTCAGTAAACATTTTAAGGGAGAACCCTCATCTCCGCATAGTTAGTCAAAACAACTACTATTTCAGTTTTTATTTGAATCACTGAATACTGCACATAATGCAATACTTGGCAACACTGAGTATTTCTCCGTTGTTGTTTCGTGTTAGTCTGTGATTGTTTACATCTTGTGTATCGTAACCTATAAGAAGCAACGTTGCCAAGCAATATTATTATAGTAATTGTTGATTGATAAAATTCACTGTTTATTTACAAAATAATTAATTTTGAGTCTCATATAGATATGAAAGATCAGTTTTTTGGTACCTATGTGTGAACATTAATTATTTAACTTTAATTAGAAAAACCATATAGTAATATCTGGCTGTTATTAAATTTCTCACAATAAAAAATAATGAAAATCATGAAAGTGCAATTTCCAATAATAAGAGAGCTTGTAAAATGTTAAAACATAAAATCATTCATAATTTTCTTCATAACTACCCTATGTCTCTAAAAATTTAACTACATTTTTTTTAAAGCAATATCAAACGCATTATAAAAAGTTTCATCAAAAACTGTCTATTATTTGTATTACCGAGAGAACTTTCTTAATAATACGATTATGTTTATTCTACTAATAAGCACTGTTTTTCATCTAAATGTGAATATAAATCTACATTTTTGGAGATATTTTTTTTGTTATAAATAAAGATAGGAATATCTTTTTATATCAAACTTTAGATATTAAAAATTTTAAAGCATTGTAAATATCTTGTATTTATAATTTTAATTCACCTATATTTGATGGTAAGGCAGCGTTGCACTTATAAATAACTGTAAAAAACATAACAAAGTAACACATTCCTAAATTATAAACAACTGTCCAAAGAAACCTGCTATAAACCATTGCAGTGCACCTGTCCTATTTAACTGAACTGTAAGTCTTTCTGATTGTTTCGCCATGCGTTACCTCCCTCCTAGATACCACAATAACTTATTGTTGTGGAAGTTCAATATCGTAGCCATGGAAATGTACATATATAAATGTATAAAACAGCTTCATCTAAACTCTTAAATCCTTCACAATAAACTGATAACAAATATCTTTACAATGTTTTATTGATTACTGAAGCTATAAATTTCTATTAAATATTAAAATAGATAATACTTCTAAGAATTTCATCAAATATATCATTTAAATGACATCAACAAACTTCAATTTCTGTGAGGCTGAGGAGATTTAAAAAATGAATTATTTTCAATCAGGAAATTTTAAAAAAATTTCAATAATATTATTAGATTTATCTCTGCGACTGTTTGGTCGAAATTGTTTGACTCATTGAAATGAACTTAACCCTTGCGTGCCTGAGCTGGGTCCAGACAATTTGCTTTTTCATCTACTTCTATTTAAGAAATTTTTTTTTCAAAATCGTTATCAAATTGGATAAGCTGATGCTATATTTCGGGGTCGCTGATTACGAATCCAGTGTCCGTTTTTAAAAATTCAAAATGGCGGATCCAATATGGCCGACGACTTTTGAAAAAAATTAACGTATTCATCTGAAAATAGTTACTCGGGAGTTTTCTGGGTCGCTGATTACGAATCCAGTATCCGTTCTTCAAAATTCAAAATGTCCGATCCAATATGTTGGAATAATTTTTAAAAAATCGTTCCGCATCGCTTGGAAATCGTTACTCGGGGGTTTTTGAGGTCGCTGATTACAAATCTGATGTTACTTTTTCAAAATTCAAAATGGCGGAACCAATATGGCGGATATATTATTTTAAATTTGACGGATTTGCTTAAAACTCGTTATTCAGGGGTTTTCAAGGTCGCTGATTACGAATCTAATATTAGTAAATTGTATCGATTTTTAATTTTCCTATCCGACATTTAAAATTTTGAAAAACTAACATCATAATCGAAATCAGCGACCCCGAAAACCTAAGAATACCCAGTAATACTTAAATTAAATTAATTACTTTTTTTGTACTGTACACTCAAATTCACCCTGTTTAAAAATGGTGTCACGACGCTAATTTTTGTGGGCTATTTATGTACCCTAGAATGTCAAAAGATTAAATATTTTTTGCAATTATATTTGCAAAATATTACAATTATAATTTAGAATTAAAATATTGAATATCCTGCTATTAAATCTTGTTCTTATGGAATTTAAGCAGCTGGGTCCCTCGGACCCAGCTCATCAGACACGCACGTCAAAAAATGAACTCAGGCACGTGAGGGTTAAATGTTTTAACAACTACAACAATCGTGGACTTGAAAACTAATAATCGACCTGTTTTTATGAATAATTTATTGCAAATATAAAACTATGTTTTAACAGAATTTTAAGACTCTTGCATTTTCTTATTTTATTTTACTTCTTAACTTTAAAAAAACACTCAATTCAACAAGAAATTTTTTGAAACAAATTTGATGTAACTGGGAATTGAACCCGGGTTCGATGGACGTTAACCAAATACCCTAACCAGCAAGCTAAACAGCCAACTATTAGAGAAAAAAAATGTAATCTATTTTTATTTATTTTATTATACATATATGTAACTGCTTTTGTACCTGTATTTATTTATTTACTGAATTTATTGAAATTTCATAAAAATAAATTTAATAGCTGCAGCTGAGAAAATTAAACGTCATTTGAAACGCAAAGCTGATGAACTAATAATCAATGCGAAGTTATCGCCGCCGTGGCTTATCTCCTCAACCTGTATCACTCGAAGCATTAGGTGTCATTCCAGAAAAATTTACGCAAAATTTATCAGGTGAAAATTTTTTGATTCCGAGGTGGCAGAAAGAGTTTTAGTGTTTTCAACAAGAAGAAATTTAGAACTTCTATCGAAAAGTGATACATAGTAGATGGAACCTTTAAAGTTTCGCAATTAATTTTTACCCAAGACTTCACCATTTTGGGATTAGTACAAAAAAATTCACATGCTACAGAGCTTCGTGAGTATGTTGCATTTCGTTTTCATACATTACATAGTACAGCTCATAATTTTTTGGAAGCAATTTATTTGGTACTCTATGAGGCATTAATATAAATAAAGAAAAAGATTAAACAAATTAATTTTGTCTATTTATTTTTTTTTACTTTCTTTAATGGAAATAACATATCGCTGAGCTACATTTAATGGAGGAGAATATCCATCTGCATAATTGGGATCTTCAAATAAAACTTCATATTCTTCTGTTGCTGTTGAAGGTAATTGATTTATGACTGCTTTATAAAAACACGTAGTCTGAGGATAAAGAGCCATGACTGAAAACATTAAATTTTTAATATTATATATTTGAGGCATTCTAAACCGTTCCACCTTCAAAAGACGATCGCTATAAGAGCGTTTTTGAAGTTAATTTTTTTATATAAAAAAGAAATAATTTATATAACGTAACACACTATTTTCAAAGAGAATTTAATTTTCTTTTTTATAAAGAAAAATTAACTTAAAAAACGCTCTGCTGCACTGAAAAAAGGTTTTGGTATTGACAACCAAACGTTTGGTTGGTATTTAAGCAACCAAAATTTTTTTGTTGAATCAACAAAATTTTAATTGTCTCAATCAAAATTTTTTGACACAACCAAAATTAGAAAAAAAGATTTTTGTTGTCCTAACTAAAGTTTGATTGGGACAACTAAAATTTTGTTGATTTAATAAAAAAAATTTGATTGGTTAAATACCAACCAAACGTTTGGTTGTCAATATCAAACCCTTTTATCAGTGTGGCGATCGTCTTTTTAAGATGGAACGGTTTAAGATAGAATGCCTCATTTATAAAGTGCAAAAGAGGTGTGAAACAATTCACATACAATCCAGTTATTTAGTTAAATTTAGAATATTTATTTAGTGTGAGAATAAAAAAATGATAGTGAGAAAGAGGAATACACTGTAACGCTCTTTCTTTCTTTTCACTCGAACACGTAAATTACCCGGCGCTTACTTTTGATTATTTTTCATGTGTCCTTTACACTAAAGATTTTTTTTTTACAAAATAATAAAAATTATAACAGAAAAGTGAAACAATTTTACGTGTTTTCTTACTTGCAAAATTTTGATATTGGAGTTTAATGATATTAAAATAGAAATTATTCTTACCCATAGCTTCTTTTAGAAACAAAGCGTTTGAATCAGTTTCAGGATTAGCTCTCATCAGCGGCAGTGGAACCACACGTCGTCGAGATAAAGTATGTCTGTCTTTTTGTTCTTCATCTATATCATCAACTTCATATTTATTTGTTGTTGAATTAAAACTAACAACTTCTGCCAAAATCCAGTTTTCTTCTTCCTCTGATCCTTTAACAAGAGCTGCCACCATATCACCCATCTATTAAAAAAAAAAGAACATGACAGTATAATTACAAAAAAAAAACATAAATATTACAAGTACATCGAATACTACAGTAATTTCAAAATTTTTTCATTAATTAATTTTAATTTTTTTATCCTAAGAATATTTTGTGCGAAAAATATCCGTTGTACGTATTCGAAATAAAAACTTCTTTCTTCAACAATGCTATCATTTCTTCAAATAAAAAATAATTCATTTAAATATCAATTAGAAAATTTACCTTAGCAACATATGTTGATTCTGCTGGAATTGCTCCACATAATGGTGGCGGTTTAGAATGTACTGATTTTCCAATGTACAGAGGAAGAGTTTGTGCTGAACTTAATAACATTTTCATCAACGCACCTCTTCTAATTGTCTCTTTATTTCCAGCATTTCGCGCCTAAAATATTGTGTAATGTTTAATGTAGAGGAGATGTATGCAGGTTGAGACATGTATGTAGGTTGAGACAGTTGATATTATATTAAATTTTGTATTTTTAAAAATAATTACTATTTTCTTAGGCAATGTTGATGCTCTGACCAATACTTTTTGAACGACAAATAAAACTTTTTGTTAAATTTTTATAGTTTAAAAATTTTTCCAAAAAAAAACCCCCGTCTCAACCTGCATACATCTCCCCTATTTATAATTAAAAAAAATATATATTTTTGATTATTCACATTATGTTACAGTTTGTAATTTAATCAAACTAATATTATATAGTCTTTTTTTTAAATATTCACCTGAATTCGTCTCTCATTTCTAATAAATCTTATTTCATTTATTTTTTCAAGGGCTTTCCGCAGTAACTCTTCTTCCTGATGAGCATCTAATACTGCTGTATTATAAATATTTTTTAATTTTTGTTGATAATATGAAGTTACTTTATCATCTGGGCTTAGCTTATCATGAGTTCTGATGATATTGTTTATATTCGGTTCAGAATAATTACGTTTACTTTCTAAATCATTAATCAAACTATAAATATTCTTTAACCGTTCCTGAAAGAAATAAAAATCCAATGAGAACAATAATAAGATAATGTCTACATAATTTAATAATAATTATTAGCGACATATTTCTCATTATGATCCTGTTCGATTGATTAGGCAAATTGTTTATTAACAATCCACTAATCCAAAATACGTCAAAAATTTCATCAAAAAAAAATTTAACGTAATTATTTTTTATTAATTTGAGTCTTCTAAATGTGATGGTGTGGTTTATTTTGCGATTTTTAAGTGTTTTAAAAGTTATTGTGTTTTTCTCTTAATATATACACTTAGGGCGAGATCACCACCACGATATTATTATTAGCTGTGTCATTCCAGGAGTTTTTTAGCACTTTTCGAAGTAACCTTTCCAAATTAAATGAAATTATTTTTTTTATAATATTTGTTAATATAAAGGTCCAAAATAATCACTTTTTAAGTAAAAACAATTGTTTATTTAAAAAATTCACTTTTTTCCTGCAACTCCAAATAAATTGGTATAAAGATCAAAATTTTCCTTATTTTTCACGCTTTAATATCGCAAAAGAAACGTAATGTACGAGGAAATATTCAACTCACAATTTATTAAACAATGTTTGTTTACTTTTTTATATTTTATTTATTGTGCAACGACTGCTATATAGTTGCGCGCGACGTTCGGAAGTTGTCGCTCTCGTTATTGAGCAGAAGCTCATTACACTAGCGTAGTAAAAAACATGTTGTGTGAAAAGTGAGGTTTTTCATCCTTCAAAAATGTTTTTTATGATTTTTACAGCAAAGTAGATAATTAAAAACTTTTCAAAGTGATAACCAGAAATGTTTAAGTTTCGTTTAATGACAACATAACCTCACTTTTCGCACAACATGCTTTCTACTACGCTAGTGTAATGAACTTCTGCTCAACAACGAGAGCGACAACTTTCGAACGTCGCGCGCAACTTTAGCAGACGTTTCACAATAAATAAAATATAAAAAAGTAAACAACCATTGTTTAATAAATTGTGAGTTAACTATTTTGTTATACATTATTTTTCTTGTGCGGTATTAAAGCTTGAAAAATAAGGAAAATTTTGATCTTTAAACCAATTTATTTGGTGGTGCACAAAAAAAGTGAATTTTTTTCATTATTTATTGCTGTATTTTGTAAATAAACAATTGTTTTTACTTAAAAAGTGATTATTTTGAACCTTTATATTAACAAATATTATAAAAAAATATTTCATTTAATTTGGAAAGGTTACTCCGAAAAATGCTAAAAAATTCCTGGAATGTCACAGCTTTATTGAATTTTTAATTAATATTTATAAAATATTTTATTTTATATAACAAATTTGTGGCGAGAAAGCCCAAACGTAATTGCGATTCAATCAAATTGTCTAATTAAAGCGTCAATCTCTGAAAATTGCAAAAAAAATTTAATTGTTAATTATAAAATATATATTTTTTTAAATAAATTTAGTGTTATAAAATAGTGATAATTTGTATTTATTTGATGTTTTCTAATGATTTTTAATTAATTTTTTAATTTTTACTTCAAAAAAAAGATAAGTGGTGATCTCGCCTCAATATTTGGGGCGAGATCACCACTTGTAAGGGTAGCGTAGAATGGCTGTAGCTCGAAATAATGAAGACACCGGAACTTGCGATTTTAATAAGGGTTATGTGTGTTCTTTAATCTGCAATAATATAATTTTTAAACAACTAATATTATTTTAATAATCATAAACAATTTTCTTTTCTTAATAATTTGAAAAATTGTTACTTTTATTTTGCGTTAAAATTTTGCAATAAAATTGAAAATGATAATTAATTTATTATAACTTTTATTATTATTAATATTATTAATATAATTAAATATAATACAAAATTAATAACCTTTTTTAATAATAAATATATATTATTAAATTATATTTTTGCTAAAAACTTTTAACAAAATGATCTTTTTAACAGAAAAAAAACTAATGATTTCAACTGAAACGTGAAATTCAAGAGGGTTACGATTCGATTCCTATGTCAAATTGAGTAAAAAGCGATTTTATATTTTAATTTTTTTCTCTAAATCCACTGAAAAGTCCATTACAATCTTTGGATGGAAGAAACTACAAAATCCAAGCTTTCTTTTTAGACAATTTTCAACAAAATTGAAGATGACATGTTTTGAGATATAAGTACTTAAAGTTTTTAAATACAGATTGAACTAAGAAATAATTTTTTTTTTTTAAAAAAAAGCTTATTGCCATCTGAAAGCTTGAGAAATTCTCTATTAAAAGCATTATTTACATTTTATATTTAAAGTTTTTTAAATAAAATAACAAAAAAAAGTGTTCGCAAAATTTCATTAGGGAATTTGAAATTTCTCTGACATTTCCTTAATTAACATCTTTTTTTGAATTATTTACAAACTTAGTTTATGCTTTCTTAAAATCTGACAATCATAACAATCAATATTTTGAATAAAGAAATAATGTTTAAAACACAAAACAATACATATTTAGCTACACTTTTCCTATTTAACAAAACAAATAAACAAACCTGTATTTGATGTGCTGCTGCATCTGCAGTAAAAGGCATAATTATTACAAAGGTAGTAAAATTTCTTCTTACTCTTATAAACAACTTTAGAATGAATCAACTGTCAGACTTTTTTTTAACTAATTTAATCTTGCTCTTAAATAACATTCGGAAGTTCATAATTCCATGGACCTTATACACATTCAAAACGTAAACAATAAATTATTCAAAACAACCATTTCTGTTCTTTTCAAGGTTATCTTTTTTGATTTTTAGGCTATGTTTACATGATCGTACTACGAGGTAGTAAAGAGGAACGCCCGAAATATGACATTTAGCCGCAGCCATGACAACGTTTAAAGGTGCTTTTATACCTCCAGTATTTTGGTCAAGCAATCGGCTGGATTGAATTATCGCGGCTGTATCACTGAATTTGATTGGCTCTGACCAATATTCCATTTCCACCGAGAAAATGGAATATTTTTAGAGTCAATCAAATTCAGTGATTCCTCCGTGAAAATTCAATCCAGCCGATTGCTTGACCAAAATACTGAAGGTAATAAAGCACCTTTAAGGTGCTTTACACCTCACAATATATGAATATGCTCGGAAATTGTCAAAGATTTCTCTAATTTTTATTGGCTTTGACTGGAAAATTTCCAAATTCTTTATGTGCAAAACCAACCAAAATTAGTGAAATCTCTGACATTTTCCGAGTATATTCAGAATTTGTGAGGTGTACAAACGCCTTTATAGTGCATTTACACCTTTGGTATAAAAAATTTTTATTTTGCATTTTCCGAAATACACAAACCTGATTGGTTGTTCACAATCTAATTGATAATGGACAACCAATCAGATTTTTGCATTTCGGAAAATCAAAGTAAAAAATTTTTTTTCCCAAAAGTTGTAAATGCTCCATGAAGGCCTTTTTCCAATATGTTCCTAAATGTTTGCGTTGCGTGATTGACGCGTTGGTTCGCAAGCGCAGTGACGTCATCAAAGCATTGATACCAATCGCGAACAAAAAGTTTGGTTTATGATTTTAAGACACTGAATTTTTTAATTATAAATATTAAATAATTAAAACTATTATTAAATGCCATCGAAAAACATTTGCATTAAAAATTGTAAAGTTGGAAAACATGGATAAGAGGAACATAAAGCAAACTTTTTGTTCGCAATTGGTATCAATGCTTTGATGACGTCACTGCGCTTGCGTACCAACACGTCAATCATGCAACGCAAACATTTAGGAACATATTGAAGAAAGGCCTTGAATGTAGACTCAGCATAAAGGTGCTCACACAAGAATTTACGTTACCGTTTGCTGGATTCGTCTAAAATGGAATAGAAGAGTATTTCTTTTTCTCTTATGGTCTAGTAACAAAACGTAAATGTACAGTCACATAGAGCACATTAGCAGAATAGATTACAGCCAATCATGCGATTACAGGGGATTTTTTAATCGCCTAATTGGCTGAAATCTATTCAGCTAATCTATTCTATGTGACTGCACCTTTAAAAATTAGGATCCAATTGGAAAAAGGCCTTAAAAGGTTGTTTATGGAAGGCTGTCATTGTCCCTACTCGACATTTGTTACAACTACCGCAACCTGCTCTAGTGAAAATTTAGTGACTTTACAGCACGGTCGTATGGTTGGTTTCTATTATCCCCACTCGCCATTTGTAATAATTCTCATCGACTACCGCACCCTGCTCTAGTAAAAAAAATTAGCAACTTTAGGCTGCAGTCCCATGGCAGCGTTTTGCGTTTTGTCAGTAGACCATGAGTGTAAAAGAGATGCAGATATATGTTTGCTATGTTTACACTCAGGGTCTAGTGACAAAACGCAACGCAAAACGCTGCCATGGGACTGCAGCCTTATTGTTAAAATAAAATGTTATTAGAAAGTTACAAAATTTTCACTAGAGCAGCGTGCGGTAGTTGACGAGAATTATGACAAATGGCGAGTGGGGACAATGTAAAGCAACCGTATATTGGGATTGGCGGTCTAGTGACTTTTACCTACTTCTTCAGACATTTTGGTTTTTATTTCTCTTTCTATCGTGTTCATTAAAGAAAGACGAAAAAGGAAAATGGTTGTCCAAAGTAGGACTCTCATGTAAAAGCTTAAGATTTACGATTAGAGATTTCATTCTGCTTAGGCCTAATCCCAATACTGGTCCGGAATCTCTTCTCTGCCTATATGGTGAGGCGGGGTCTCGCGGTGAATCCTGCCGATAGGTGGCTACGTGTCGAAAAGTCTACTCTATCTTCTTTCCACAAGAGAGAAGGACAAAGATGGATAAGGCCGTTTCCGAATTAAGATTTTTAGTACATTTTTAATAAAGTGTATACTTCACGAGTATACACTTTATCAAAAGTGCGCTAAAAATTCCAATTCGGAAACGGCCTTAGCGAAGTCTTAAGGTGCTTTTATACCTCCAGTATTTTGGTCAAGCAATCGGCTGGATTGGATTTTTACAGTTGTATCACTTAATTTGATTTGCTCTGACAAATATTAGATTTTCACCGTGAAAATTGAATTTTTTTAGAGCCAATCAAATTTAGTGACTCTCCGTGAAAATTCAATCCAGCCGATTGCTTGACCAAAATACTAGAGGTATAAAAGCACCTTTAAGCACAAAGCCGTTTCCGAATTGAGATTTTTAGAGCATACCTTCCGAGTACCAACCAACGAAAAAAAAGTTGTTGTAGAAGCAGCTTAAAGTCTCACATAAGTCAGACAGAGTACATTTGACTACTCTTTCTCTCTCTCTCTCACTTCTGTAACGCTGATTTCCAAAGAGTTCAGTAGTCTATTTCTTTTAATCAATGCATATTACATTCACATATTACAAGAGAAAGAGAGAGAAAGAAATAGTTGATTGAAATGTGTAATGAAAGAGAAGAGAATAGAAAATTAGTGAATAGCAGTGAGTGGGGTATCAATGGAATTGTGCAGTGTGTTATCGGTGGTGTCATGTCTTCTCATCGGTGCAAGAATTCTTTTTGTGTGGTGTAAATTTAGTAAGATTTATTTTTCCATTGATGCCTTTGTTCGTGTGGTTGAATCTGTATGGTTTGTGTTGTTTAAGATTTATTGTGTTAAATGGACAAGCTGTCTGTCCTTGTCAAGGCAGGAATTTGAACTACAGGAAGCCAAAGGACTTGAACAACAACAAAGTGTCAAAGTGTCCAGATAGTTGAGGAAGTGATAGTGATCGCGATTCTCGTGATCAGTCTAATCATTCTGACTCATTGCTCTTGACGATTGAGTCTGGTTGAAGATCTGAGCCTCGGCCTGAGAAATGAGAGAGTTCAAGGTCGTAGTGCTAGGATCGGGCGGGGTGGGCAAAAGTGCTCTGACGGTTCAATTCGTGTCAGGTTGTTTCATGGAAAAATACGATCCGACCATCGAAGACTTCTATAGGAAAGAGATCGAGGTTGATAATTCGCCGTGCGTTCTCGAAATCCTGGATACCGCCGGCACCGAGCAATTTGCTAGTATGCGCGACCTCTACATCAAAAACGGCCAGGGCTTCGTTGTTGTCTATAGTCTCACTAATCATCAAACTTTTCAGGTATCATAATTATAGTCTACTTCAAATTAATACTTTTATTGTTCCTAACATTTTTCCATACTTTCAATCTGATAGAATAATTATATATGTATGTATATATATTGGCTACTTTTCTTGCGTGTCTTTACTATTAATTAACAAGCATGTAGGAAAAAATTTATTTAATTTCGTCAACAATTTTATTACTTTTAAACCCTTTGATTAATTCAAATTTCTTATTTTTAGCAACAGCTATTTTTATTCTCTTCTTTAATTATATATCATGTATATCTTAAGGCAAAGAATAAGAAACTTTGTTCTATTAGATTTTTACGATATATAAAATATTCAACTTAATTATTATTTTACTGAATTTTTTTTTATTAAGTACCTCTATTATTTAAATATAAAATTCTGAGGTTTGTTTTAATTTGATTTTTTGTTAATTTTCGATAAGTGTTTAAAAGGTATTTTGCTTGTAAGTTGAAATTCAGTTTTACTCTACGTGATAAATTTGCGAGACAAAACATTATTATTTTACAGTTACTCTTGAAAATAGTAATTAAAATCAATTTTATTGCTTGTTTTTATTTCAGGTTTGTTTTTTATATGATATAAGCAATTATTTCAAGAATCACAGTTGACCCCCCTCCTTTTTTTTACTTAATCCACATTTTTTTCAAAGAAATCTTCACACACTTTGTTTATTCAATAAATTATTTAATTTATTCAAAATTATTTCTTCATTCCATGAATTTGTTGAAATGAACTTAAATATTTTTTAAATAACTAAATTTTGTTTAAAATAGCTAAAAAAAGTTATACATTATTTTTATTTTGAAGATCCCCTTTTTAACATAGAAAAATAACCTTTTTTTTACCTAAAATTGAAGAAAAGTGCACTGTGATCCGTATTATTTTCATAACAACTAATTTAGTACATTGAAAAAAAATTGATTTGATACAAATATTTGGTCACAAGACTATTATAAAATAAATATTTACTTGAACCAAATAATTTTTATTTGAATTATATAAATTGTATTTGAACCAATAATTTCTGTATATGAAACAAATACCATTTAATTTATTCAAATAATAATTAATTTAATACAAATAAATATTTATTTAATAATAGTCAAATAACCGATTATTTGAATCAAATAAATCTTTTTTCAGTGTATTGAATTTGTGAAGAACATGTAAGATTGTTATATTTGAAACAGATAAATATACATTAGGTAAGTTAATATTTTCAAACAAACTTTAAGAACTCATATATTGGTAATATATAAAGAATAAATGATTATTTTCAAATTGCCTGCCTAAAGATGTTAATAGATCATGTTCTGCAAGTTATGAATGTTCAAATGAACAAAAAATTTGTTTACTACTTTATTACGTTTTAATTTTGTTATAAAATATTAATTTTTTGTTTCTAAAACTAAATAAATAAATGTTTAATGTATTTGTTTATTTTTCATTGCAGTAGTAATTTTAAAAAAATTATAGACCAAAAAAATGATTTTGTTCGTTTGAACATTCAGAATTTCAGCCAAATAATAGATCTTAAAGTTTGAAGATTTGATTTTGAAATTTTTTTTTGCATACATATTATTTTATTATATAATGTAATTATTTAAAAGCTTTTTTTTAATTAATTCTTTGAAATTACTGCTTGTTTGTGAACAAAATTTTCAAATTCAAGTTCTAACATAACTTGTTGCTTTACGACTACAGAAGTCCAAAAATGCTTTTAAAAAACGAAGTTGATGTTACGACTAGCAGAATCTTTGATAATGTAAAAAATAATTTTCCGGTTGTACTATCAATTGAAAAAAGGCAGTTACTGTCATCCGGAATTTTAATAAAATTCATTCTGTGTAAAAAAATGCATAAAGGATATAATGTACCAGAGGAGGGACATACGTTTAATGGTTTAAATAAATTAATTATTACATTAAATGTAACTTATTAAGATTGGGAATTTGAAGAAAAATAAACATAGTAGACTCTCTGTAAAATTATCGTTGCTGAAATTCACACCGTTTATGCGGTCAAGGATTCTTAAAAAAATATTTTTTTTGAATGAAAAATTCTATAAATTTTAGTCTTAAACTAGGGACCTTCACGGAATGAAAACAAAATTCAAGAACACCTTTTTTTTGTTTCTGATCAGAATATCAAAATCAAAAGTCAATTTAGTTTTCATTTCGTTTGATCCACCGAAAGAAAGGAATGGTTGGAGCAGCCATATATATTGATAAATATGGGATATCAATATTATACACTTAGAAAAATATGCTATTGAATCTATAGCATTTCTGCCAAAGGTATAAAAATTATTGATTCAAAAGCATATGCTATAGAATCTATAAAATATTTTACAAATTTTATAGCATATGCTTTTGAATCAATAATTTTTATACCTTTGGTAAAAATGCTGTTGATTCAATACCATATTTTTCTCAGTGTATTGCTACCACATACATTTTTTTAATTGACACATCCAGATCTATATGGTTGGCATATCCATAGAAAATTGATGTTCCTTCCATATTCATAAATATGGATGTCCCGAACATATCATTTTTTTCCATATGAGCGAAATGAAAATAGAATCTACTTTTGATTCCGTTTGGTGAATGAAACGAAAGTAGAGTGTACTTTTGATTCTGTTCGGTGAACGAAACGAAAATCCGTCAAAATTTAGAATATATACTTGGGACCTATTTTAGAATAATTTATACTTACCTCGTCAGTTTTCCTCATCTTTAATAAGGGTCTTGGTCAGAAAAAACTGACTAGCGCCTTACAAGGGTTAGGGCCCATTCATTAATTACGTAAGGACGATTTTGGCTAATTTTGACTCCCCCCCTATCCCCATGTAAGGATACATAAGATTTTTCGGACCTCCCTCCCTCTTCTTACGTAAGTTTTTAACAATATTAATGTAATTAAAAAATTAATTACAACAATACAAATGGAAAATACTTGGCAAAAGTACATTTTACATCACTCCCCGATGTAAGACCATGTAGAGATTTTATAAACCCCCCTCCCTCTAAGGACCCTTACGTAATTAATGAATGGCTCCTTAAGACTTTTGCACACCTAATCCCCACTGAGGGAAAACTAACCAGGGCTATACAATTTTGCAAGTAAAAGGCCCTTTTCACCTTGTGGATTAATTTAAACCTCTAAGACGTTATAAAGTCGCAGTAGATATATTCTGAGTCAGCGCAGAAGTTGTATATAGCTGTATACAAACATTCTGCGCAGACGCAGAATATATCTACTGTATTTAACCTCTGGGAGAATTAAATTTATTTACACAGTGAAAAAGTCTTCTAAATACTCTAATTTATAATATTAAATAGCTACTTACTTAAATTCGAGTCTGCGCAGAACATTCATAAACCCAATCTTTTCATTGACGAATCTATTCACGAATGTTCTGCACTGACTTGAATTTAAGGGCATGTAAAAGTCATTCCAGTTTTCTCATGGTAATTCAATGTTAAAATTGACACAACTTTGACATGCCCTTAAGTAAGTAACTGTTTAAGCAGTTTACTTCAAGCTGTCCCTACTTTAAAGGGAGGCTCTGATTGTGGGGTTTCAAAAAATCTATTCTGCATTTTTTGAAAGCTATATATGTGTAGAATATGTAAGTGAAGTGAATTTGCGATCCGAAAAATATTTTCGTTTCTACTGGGTCTTGAACTCACCGGTGTCGTGTGTGCTGAGTGATAAGAATTAATCAAATCCGATCATTTTTTTTTTGTAAATTGTCTGACATATTTGAACCGTCATTTTTAATTTTATAAATCAAAACCAAAAGATGTTTATGATTTGCGTGAATTAAAATAAAATACAAATTTTTAATATAAAAAGGTTTCAAAATCTTTAAACACGTCTTTCTCAAAACAAGATTTTTTAAACTGCAGCTAATTAAAGATAACTGAATTCTGCTGGGGTTATACCTGGGCGATTCCACGTGAAAGTTACATAAGACCTTATAAATTCGTTTAAATATATTTTTTCTCGTTCTTTGTAGAAAAACATGGAATATGTATTTTTTTAAAAAAAAGAATTAATTTTTTTTAATTTGGACCCGATTAACTTCTTTTTTGACTTATTCATACCTGAAAATATATACACGGAGAGAAATAGATGGTACGGGGTACTAACTAGATAGTACCAGGTACCATATTTGATCTTATATATACGGACAGCAATCTAGATTCTATCAGTTACTATCCAGATTGTACGGAGTAACATCTTGATTGTGGTGGGTAACATAACCATACTTTTTGTAACATCTTTGATAGTACCGAGTAGCATAATGATAGTACCGGATAACATCTACTTTTTACCATCTTAAGACCATAAATACTTACCATCTATTTCTCTCCGTGTACAGAAGAATTTGCAAAAATATTCGAAATGGGCCTAAAGAGTTAAATACAAGTTATGCTGAAATGTTGTACTTTTATTTACGCACAAGAAATTTTTTGTAGCCGTCAGGTACTGCCCAGACGGTAAATTTCAGTACTACGCAAATGTTTATACTCGCTTCCTATTTTACTTCCTGTCGATTTTTATGTGAATAAATTTTTAATTTCTTGGAGCCAATTGGAAGTACACAAACTCAGGATAACTGGTATTTTATCCGATTTTGCCATTTCTGTCCGAATTGGGAGAATAATATTTTTGAAATTAAATGTACCTTATTTTTAAAAGACAACCACTGTTTGCCATTACGGAACACTGTTAATCCAATATTTTTAATTTATTTACTAAGCGTTTCTAATATCTATTAAAACTATCATTATTTATTTAAATTTTGAAAAAATTGATAAATATTAATCTTTCATTAAGTAGCATATGTAAAAACATAATGTTTTTCGTGTAAATTTTAATTAAAATAATATTTATATAAACGACGTTTAATTAATTTGTTTATGATTCGTATAATAAATTGTGTTGAAGGATGGTTAGGATTTAATACAATCTGAAACTGTAGCCTTAGCAGTTTGCCAATTAAGCAACCTATTTCATTATATTTTTTAATTACCCGTGTGGCAAAAGCCACGATCTTGCCCCCCAAGACTTCGGGGCCCCCGGCGGGGGCACATGAGGGCTGATCCATATGGCGAGTCCTTGAGTGCCAACGTAGGGGCCCCGCAAGGATCACCCACATGATCATTTAGCAAAATTTTCTAAGTCCAAAAGTCAAATATTTTTTTATCACCAAAAAATTCATGTTTACAATGATTCAGAACAACGAAAAACACGTTTTTAATTAAAATATATTTACATTTTCTTGAAAAAACCGCACTCACATATGGCAAGATACATGAGGGCCAACGTAGGGGCCCGCATAGATTGCCCTCATGAACACTACTACCACTATAAAGGTCCCTGGGATCTTCATATCGTGACCCTTGCCGTTGCCGATCTTTCTGGTCTATTTATTCATGTTTCGTGGGAGAGCAGATTGGGCTTCTACTGCAGTTTACAAATTTATGATTGACTTCATTGCACTTGAAGCATGCAGTCGATATGTCCGCTGCCTTACAAACTCTTCCTATGTGTCCGTACGCCAGACACCGGTAACACCGAACGACCGTCACCCTTCTTTTGATTGGGCAACACATAAAGCCAATCCTTATGCGTCCCACTTTCTCCAACCTGCCCGCCTCCTCCAGGTCGGTGACTACAACTGCGAGCTTCATTCCTCGTCGGTTGGATCCTAGAACCGTCACTTTCCTGTTTCTTGGCTTCTGGACACTTCCGCCAACTTTTGTTGGGCCTCTTCTTTCTGGGTAAGGCAATCCTGGTCGCCGATCTCCAGTGTGATCTGTCGATCCACGGTCTGCAACTTCCCCCATGCTTGCAACCACTTTAGTGACCTCAGTGGTAAATGCCTCCATATTGGAGTCTCCTCCGATTTTAATCAGGAGATCTTTCTCCTCCTAGTAGACCTTGGGCTCACAACCTGCGTGTGGCTGACGTCCTGATTCACTTCCCTCCGAAGTTTGTTCATTACGACTCAGATCACCATTGGAGATCCACTTGTCGCTTTCTTCTTACTGGTTTGCTTACACGGAGAGAAATCTATTACTAATAGCGCATAAGTAGTCCCTTCGAAAATAGCACAGACACAACCTTGCGTAAATTGCAAGAAATCCATGCTCATTTTTCATAGCTTTCGAGCAAAACTCACACAAGCTGTGCAATATTTGCACAAGCCTTGTGCTAATATTGCTGACTGCCAGAGCTTTTTCTGTATTTCTGCATCTCTATGACTGCGTGCCGAAGCTGCTTCTCATGGATACTCTCTCCATTCCTGTTTCGCTCATCTTGGTTCACCTCCGAATCGCCTATAGCGCCACCAAGGTTGCTATCTACATTATCTGCTAGGGCGAGCTTTGTCTTCGCCTCACTGACAAGATTCTGAAAAGTCTTAATTCCGTCTGTAATAGTCATGTTGTCATTCTTCTGGACTTCGCGTGACTTTAACATCTTGGCGATCTCCTCTTCGATCCTCTGAAGACACTGAACTTCCTCCTGCCTAAGCTTTAAACACTTCTCGCGTTCTTCTTCAATTCTTTTCAAACGGACCAGGGGAATCTTAAGAAACTGGGTGCCCCCATGGTCCATCCTCCTTGTGGCATTGAATGCTGCAGCACCCAAGGTGTCCAATGCTGCAGCACTGTTGCTATTGTATTTTGACGCTGGGAAGCCAACTTGCGCACTTCCAGCAGCGCCGGCAATATGGTATCCCTCCCCTGCACCGTAAACATCCTTATTCAATCCTTTGCTTTCCATATATATATATATATATATATATATATATAATATATATTTCTCCCTACTTTACATCTTAGTTTTTGGAAGTCCTTTAGTGAAAAGCCCCTCCACCACTACAAGGTCTACGAAGAATTTACAAGACTCTTGGTAGCGAACAACCCTACGTCAAAAATTTAAAAAGTTATTAATTTTTTATAAAACATGAATTTTCAAAATCTGATATCAGATTCGTCATCAGCGACCCCGAAAACTCTCAGATACCAAGTTTTATAAAATATTAATAATTTTGCTTCCTCGTGGAGGAAGCTATGTAGTCCTTTCGTTTATAAAATTTTTAAAAATGGTGAAAACAAATTTTCCTCTATATAGAAACATGTTACATGAGATCCTGATCAATTGTCCGGATGTATGTATATGTATGTGTGTGTGTGTAGATAGTTTTTGTGAACACGATATCTTTAACAGGTTTTATTGGATTTGGGTAAAATTTGGTAGGCTTATTTAACACATTAATCTCTCAAAAATGACGAGAGGATTTTTAAAAATACCCCAAAAAAAAAAATTTATCGTCTTTTTTCCAAAAATTTTTTTTTAATTGAAAAAATTTTTAAATCGAAAAATTTAAGGTAATATATAATTTAATCGTCTTCTTTATGTCAAGATGAATCGATTGATATATATAAAGTATAGATTTGATTGAAATTTAAAGAATTAATGAAAGTTAAAAAATCAAAAATTCTCATTTTAGCTAAAAAATGATGTGTTTATTTAAATTCATGTTTATATATGAAATAATTTTATTCCCTGCATTGAAACGAATTGGTTGGTATCTATAAAGTATAGATTTGATTTAGAGAATTAATAAAAATTGAATAATCGAAAATTCATATTTTAGCTAAAAAATTTTGTGTTTTTTTTAAATTCAAGTTGATGAATAAAATAATTGTATTCCTTGCATTAAAACGAATCGATTCTTATGTATATAAAGTTTATGTTACACTCAAAATTAATTAAAATTTTCTTTATTTTTCAAAAAATTTAATTAATTTAAAACATTTTTAACTCGAAATTTTTTAAATCAATCAATTGAATTGGACAAATTCATTGCTTCCTTCACGAGGAAGCGAATTTTTTGCTTCACACAATCAGGAAGCATAATGTTTATGAAATAAACATAAAGGACCCCCTCCTTGTTTAAAAGATATCTTGTCACTTTTCATCTAGGGGTTGTTTTCACCTCTAAAAACCACAAACGATTTGATCTAGCAAAACGTCAAAAAAAGTTGAATATTGTCGAACGGTGCTGTTATGTAAATATTCGATTAGCTTAATGAACAATTAATTCTGTTATATTAAAATTATTTTTTATGAAAATTTTGGAAAATATAAATTCTGTGAAATGGAAATTGTTTTGAATGAAAGTTCGATGAACTACACAATTTATTATATAAAAGTTCGGATAAATAGAAATTTTGTGAAATAAGAATTTATTTAAATAAAAAATTTCCAATATGAAAATTCAGTTTTAACGTAAAGTTTTCTTTATAAAATTCTAATAAATTTGAGTTTCTATTATTTCACAATTGACGCTGTGAAAATTATCTTGTTTGCAACCTTAATGCGTCCCTATTTTTTGAGTATCGACAGTTCAGGAATAGTGCCCCATGTATACTTTTTAAATTTACACTTCTGCCCACCCTATTAGAAGTGACATTTTATAATTTCATTTCACAAACTGAATCAAAACAGAGTATCATGTTAACTTTTGTTTCGTTATCGAATGAGAAGTGAAATTCCAATAATTGACTTCTGTTTCAATTAAGGAAAGGAAAGTACAATAGTACACGGAAAAAAGTACAACTATATCTGAGAATTTTTTCGTCATAACAGTTAAACATTTCGTCAAAAATGAACGAGCGAATTGTCAGCATCGTCAAAACCACGATATTGAATTTTACTTGAAAAACAACATAACCTAAAAATGACAAATATAATTAAAATTATGTAAAGAGTAATATTAAAATCACATTTTTGAATTCTTTCAATTGTATGTTTTAAATTATATTCATTTAAAAGTAAATTATTGAAATAAATATTGTTTTAACACTGACGATCGCAAAAATGGATAAACTTTATTATTGTAAAAAAAATTTGTTTTAAAATATTTAATTAGTATCTATAAAAAATTTAGTTTGAAGGTTAAACTTTTAAATATCTCAAAACACGTCTCTGATTTTGACAAAATTTATGTCAAAAGAAATTAATTAAAATTCTCAGACGTTTCAGAGGTTAAAACGGCTTGAAATTTGTAAGATTTGAGGTTAGAAAACAATTCTTGATGTGATGGAGCAAATCAGACTTCAGATTCATGTTCAGGGCACCAACACGGAGAAAAAACGAATTTTCAGAAATAGTAACACTATAGATATTTTAAGGCGAATAATTGATTTTCAGAATTCTATATTAAAATTTAAATATTAAGTACTAGGATTTTTGTATCGAGTCCTAAAAGTCTACGAATGCGAATCCAGGATGAAATTTGATTAAGTATTCTAAAACTGTTTGGGATTCAGTCCAAAAGTTTTCGAAACAGTATAATCGCTATTTGTTTACGTTCATAATTTTTTGTAACTAAGTAACGTTACTGGTTTACGTTCCTAGTTTCTACTTCTAAAACTAATAAACTTTAAAATGTTTTTTTTATTTTTAATTTAAGAAAATTAATAAAAATAAAATAACAACTAAAATTGCTTTCTCTATTTTTCAGGATATTAAAGCTATGAAAGAGTTGATAACCCGTGTAAAAGGAACAGAAAGAGTGCCAGTTCTTCTGGTAGCTAACAAACTTGATCTAGAGCATCAACGTGAAGTTGATTCAGCTGAAGGAACAGCTTTAGCACAGATTTGGGGCTGTCCATTCGTAGAGGCATCTGCTAAAAATCGTACTAACGTCAATGAGATGTTCGCTGAAATTGTACGGGAAATGAACTTCAGTCCTGAAAAAGAAAAGAAGAGTTACTGCTGTTGCAGTGTTCTTTAATACTTAATCAAAATTTCACATCGGGCAGACTGAATGACACTAGATAAATAGGAGCAACTTTAGTTGTCCTATGAACTTCTTTTTCTTTCATCTTCCCCGCTTCCTCCTTCAGGGTCAACGGGGTCGTGCTGTGAACTCGCAAATCTTATAAGAATAATTTATAACATACGGAAAGCTCAACAAACAAAAAAAGACTATTAGAGAGAGACTCGTGAGTTTTCATTTTCTATCGAAAAAACGACACTAATCGTGAACATATTTTAATATACATAGATAGTATTATGTGTAATATTACTGTAATATATAGCAATAAAAGTAGACGATTAAATGGTAAGCTAAATCTGCGGAACAGGACCAATGCATGGAGGAGGATGGACGTGGATTTTGTAGATGGTTACAAAAAAAAGTCCTGCGTTACTAGTTATTTACTGGTAATGGCTAAACCAAACTCCATATGATTAGATTTTTACTTTATATTAATAAGAAAATTTAGTTTCAAGAATATTCCATTTTTATTCTGAGCTGTTTAGATAGTTTGTTTTGTGTATTTAAATACAAACTACAAATTTAAAAATGTTTAACAGCATGCAAAAGTTGTGTGTAAGTCTCTTTAAAAATTACACTTTTAAAAGTATTATCAATTGTTTTTTGTTTAAATTCAAAATTGAGATTTTTCATTCTCTTTAATTTTTTTTTTGTGTGTGTGAAATAATAAAATTTCCTCCGCCAACAAAATGTTTTATATAATCAGAATTGATTACCTGCTTTTATATCAATTTTTAATAAAATTATATTAATGTAATAAAACTGTAATTAAAGCACAAATTAAAAATACTAAAAAAAAGAGTAATACGCCTAACCGACTGAAAATACATACAATGTATAGAACAATTTAGAAATCAGTATATCATGATAGAAAAAAGAAGATTAAATAATAAATTGAATTATGTACAGAACCAAATTAATTTTTATGGTAACCACCAAATTTGCTATTGAGGAAAATTTAGGGGACAATAATATAATAAAAAGTTCTATTATTGCATGTAACCTTTCAGTCAATCTTGTGCAATAATATGAAAATATTAAATACTGTTTTTTATGCAATTGTATTGGAAGGCCGAATGCGATATTTTCATCGTTAAAAGTAAAGTTTTAACGAAGAGAGTAATAAACTTCAAATTATTAAAATTTTTAACTCTAACTTTTAATGGAGTTTAAAATGTTTGTTAAATTTAGAAATAGGTTTAATAAATAAATTTCATTTGTTTATATACTTTCTTCCTTGCATATGCAGATACACAAATATTATTATATCTGCATTTATGAATTTATATACTTAAAAATTCGAACATGCGACAAAATATTTCATTTCTTTTTTTTTTTTTTTTATTAAGATTAATACTTGTGTAAAAATGTTATTATGAGTATGAATGTTAATGTGTATGTCTGTGTGTAAATGAAGATAATAACTATAAGGAAAAAATTTTAGAAAGCAGAACAATAAAAATTTGAGTCAAATGATTAATTAACATTGATGATATTTCACTATTTTCTTATTTCAATGTAGCTCGAAAATTTGTAAATATATTTATCAGGGCAAGTGTTCTCAAATTCTAATATTAGAACAAAAAACGATTTGCATACATTGTTTATTGAAATTTATAATATTTTGGTATGGTATGGTTTTATCTTATTTTACACGTCTGAGATATTACTCTCATTTTTATGTACATTATTATTGCAGTAAATGTAAAAAGTATGTTTTAATTGTTGAGTTTTATTATTAGACACATTAAAAGTCTTAATTCCTTTAAACAAAGAAAAAGATTTTTTTTTATCATTATTGTCAGAATTACAAGGTCTTGATTAAAATTGAAGAAATTTATATAAAAAAAAATTTTAATCACTTTGCACTTTTTATGCAAGAATATTAATTATTTTGTAAGTTTTTTTTTTGCAAGGAAGAATAGTTAAAATTAATTTAATACTGCCAGGGTAGTGAAATTTTTTGGGAATATATGGAGAGAAGACATACAATATCATTTGATAAACCACCGATTTATAGGAAAATTTTATTATTATTTGTGTAGTATATAAATGTAAAATTCTAATTAATATAAAAAATGGATATTCATAAGATTATTGATTCTATACTGTACAAATAAGCTGTAGAGTAGATTTAAACAATATAATTTTTGTAGTAAATAGAATCATTTATATTGATATGATTTTTGCACAAGGAACTATCATGAGCATTAAGGGGTGGAGTTTTTTTTCTTGTAAAAATGACGCACAATTAATGAAAACATAAGAAAAAATTTTTTTAAAGAAAAATCTTCCAATAATTTTTTTTTTATAACCATTAAAAGAGGTTACAACATATCGAAAAGATCCTACATACTTTGGTATAGAAAATTTAATTTTTGATCAAATTTTAAGTCAATGAGAGTTGTCTGAGTTAGAAGTTTGCCCATTAAGAAAAAAGAAAAAAAAATAAAGTTTCGAAAAAAAGGTATTTAAAGAATTAAAAGCCTCTCCATTATTCGGTAGGACGGATAGTGAATAGCTAATTTTACACTAGTGAAAAAAATGTTTATACAAACAAGTGACCGTGAATATGAATTGAATAATTTTCTAACAAAATTAATTTTTTTCTGATGATACCAAAAACTGAAAAAAAAGAGGGCGTTGCAGCACATCTTTTTTTCAGTGAAGGAGTACTGAATAATTGTATAGAAAAAGTTGCTAGCTATTGCATAAAACATAAACCGCGTTTCTGATATAAACTCTAATTTTTGTAAAATAATCCTCTGAGGACTTTACCCTCCCCCCAAAAAAAACAGCAGAAAGAAAAAAAATCTTTCTAGAAAGTACTATTTGGATAAAACAATTTTATACTATTTCCACCTTTTTATCTTTACATAATTACGGTGACAATTTTAAATTAAACTTTTTTCTTTCCTCTCTAAAATCAAAATATTTATAATGCGCTACATTCTAATAGACTTTTTTTTTATAGTAATGCTTATCAATAATATACAATAATAAACTTTAATTACACAGGCATAAAAAAAATTCATGTTCTGAGCTCGAGGTCAAACTATGACTACTTTCTGTTTTTGGGGTTACTGAAACCAAATCAGAAGTCAGTTTATAACGTCAGGTATTTGACATAACCTCAAAAAACCTAAAAATTCGGATCTATGTATAAGTCTTACCATGTCTACTTTATGTTTTTGGGATCGCTGAAGCTGAATCTGAAGTCTATTTAACCCTATCACGTCAGGCTTTTGACATAACAAAAAAAAACATTTAAAAAAATCAAATGTTGGGATTTTTTCGAGGTTATGTTAAAAGTCTAACGTGATGGGGTTAAGTAGACTTCAGATTTGGTTTTAGCGACACCAAAAACATAAAGTAAACATGATAAGACTTATAAATCAGAATTTTTTTATTTCAAAATTTTAAAGTCAAATTTTGTGATTTTTGAGTTCATTTCAAAAGCCTGACGTGATGAGGTTAAATAGACCTCAAATTTGGCTTTAGCGTCCCCAAAAACATAAAGTAATTACAGTAAGACTAATAGATCCAAATTTTAAAATTTTAAGGACGAATTTTGAGGTTTTTTGTGGTTATGTCAAATACCTGACGTGATGGGCGCGGTTAAATTATCGAGTACTATATATAATCTCAAACTTTGTTTCTTTGCTAATTTTTGATTTCCAGTGTTTAGGATTTGTGATATTTCTCAATTAATTTACAATAACTTTCCAGTGTATGTATCTGCATTGAAAAAATTTTGGTGCAGCAGCTGTCCCAAAGGAAAAATTTCTATATTCAGTTAATTTCACTCATATAAAAACTGATTGTAATGAAATTTTTTCATTTGAGATATCTGCGGCGCCAAAATTTTTTCAGTGTGTATTGAAAAGGAGTGAAGGGAGACATAAATCTTTGTCCCAGTTAAAAAAATTTCTATATATGCCTTTATTTTGAGTGTAGAAGAAAAAAAAGGGATTTTTTAAACAATTTAATTTTAATTAATGATTAGTTATTGTTATCCATTATATAATAATTATAACAAATTTTCTCTTATTAGATCATTAGATAATTATTACAAATAAATGTTTTGTACATAGAGAAAAAATGTACAATTCTACACTAAAAATCTTTCGATATAGCAAAATTTAACCAATTTCAAAAAAAAAAATTTTCTCAAATTGGACCAATATTCTCAATTTTACCCCATATTTTAAGAATTCTAAAATATACAGTATTATGTAAACAATTTAAAGAAATTTACATTATTTTCCATATCTGTGTGTGTTAAAAATTAACTAGTTTGTTTTTTTTAACTAACTATGAGGGTAAGTAGTAAACTCCTTAGTAAGTGTATTTTTGTTCGTTGTCAAATCGATTAGACTCTTCTTTTTAACGTCATACTTAAAATGGTATCTGTGGTATTTATCAATCTAGATGAATCTAAAGTCAACTTTTCTTCATCCTTTGTCGCTTAAGTAGTAAAATGTTTTACTAGAAAAAGTTTTATAGATGGTAGGAGACATAAATAGGTGAAACTTCAAGCTACTTATAAAAGTAAATCTCAACAATTAGATGAAAACTTTGGAAACATAAGAAAATGTGAAAGTAAATTTTTTTATTTGTCGACAAAATTTTTTTTTCAACTCATACACCGTATATTTATATTCATAAATAAATAAATTAAATAATTTGGATTTTTTCTATTACAATTTGAATTTCAATTGTGTATTATATGAAAGTTATATTTCTATAATTACTTGAAAAATGAAAATAGAATTATTTTCTCATAAATATTGCAATTGATTTAATTATTATAGCTTTTACAATAGAGTTCAGAATTTTTTAGTGTAACATTGTACCATAAATAGTAAAATTAAAAATTGTGAAATATAATATCCGTTTTTATGCCAATAGAATTGATTCGAAATTGAAGAACAGAATTGAAAATTTTTTGACTCAGAAACAAATTTTGTCGATTAAATTTCTCAATGATCTTCAAAAAAAAATTTTTAATTGTTTCTGATTATCAGGAAGAATTTCAATAATAATTGATGTCATTAATGTATTTCTTTTTGTGAGAAATTTCAGTTCATTAAAAACAATTTTTTCAAATGCAATATTAATAATTTATTTGGTCATGAAATAAAAAATGAATAATTAAAAAGGTCACATTTACTTGAAATTATCTGCAACAAAGAAAAAATTTATTTTACCACAAGTGTAAGAACTAGCATATCACTGTATGGACCAGTTTGATTAAATAATAGTTTGCATGTTAAATTTAATTCATTTTTCTTCAAAAAAAAGGAAATTTTTATTATTAAAAGTTGAATATATGAAAACACTATTTTTACATTTAAAACTAAATTTTTTTTTTTAATAAATAAACTTCTCTACTAAACGCGAGGCCATAAAAATATGAGCGTTCTCATACATAAACTGCTTGTAAAGTCCATTGTCGCAGTTAATATCTGACTGACTGTATAAAGTCTGTGTTCTGTTTTTTTACAATATTAAATTTTTTGATAAATTTTTCTTACCATTTTTCTGTGTAGAAATGACAAAGTCAGGGGATCAAAGAATTTGAATTAGAATAATTATTTGGAAAACACCAAGAATTAGATATATATCGGCCTTTCAGTACTACCTGCATATTAAATTGTGTATTAAATGTTATATTTTTTACAACGTGAAAATTTTGTAAATAGTTATAACGTCAAATTGAATATAATGAAAGGATGACAGTCGTTTATTATTGACAGTAAACATGTGCATTAGACTATAAGATTTGAGTATATATATATATATATTAAATATATATATACAGAGTGGAGGATTTTAATGTGATTGGAAATGCATATTATAACAATATTATTATTTAGCATGAGTTGTAAGGATGATTAATTCAAATTGATTATTTGAGAATTTAAATGACTTTTATTTTACAAGAATATTTGCGAATGAAATATTTAAATAATAGTGCTGGTGTATCCTACATATATTGTTTATAAATCATTATTTACGTGTAATATTAAAAAAAAAAATAAAACAAGCAAGACGCAGCACATTCAAGAAAGTAAAACAAGAATATGATAAAATCTTCAAGTTTCAATTGCTTGTAAATAAGTTTTAGTTTTTTTTTTTTTTAAGAGTTAACTACTATTTAAGTAGACCAATTATCAAGTGCAATTGATAAAATATTGTGTAATGCACCTAGGTGGTAAAGTTACTACTTTTTTGTCAACGCAGACCGAAGTCAAGGACAAAATAACTTGGCAAAAAAGTCTTCCAAGTATGGTGTATAATTTTATTTCATACAACACATGTACAAAAAATAATGATTGATTTTGTGAAGAATTAGGTACAAAAAAAAATGAAATTATTATTATTTTCGATATAATGAATAATATCGAATTTTTTTCCATCAAAAAACATGTATTTTGCATCTGTATATAAATCTAATCAATATTTTTCATGCATGTGTTGTCTAAAAAATATATATTTTTAGCAGTCACAATCATTATATCTACGATCAGTGTTGCCAGCACGATAATCTAGTCATAAGGGAACTTTGTTCAATTAAAATGTCTCATGTGACAAGTAAAAGTGTAAAAAAAAACACCTCAAATTATAAGAGTATCATAAATGATAGTGTATGTAACTTGATTTAAAACATTTCAGATTAATTTTTGTGTCAATTGGGAGAAATGTAAACAATTTTTTTTATTTTTATCAATAATTCTTGTGATTTTACAAATTACCTTCTTTTGAACTATAGGATAAATTTAAACAAGCCTATTTGCATAATATAATGGGTCTTTAGGAAAAATAATAGCGAGAATACGTTTATTAAAAGATAACTTAGTTGGAATTAGAGATATGACAATTTTAGGTTTCGAATTGAATCAGTTAAATAATTATTTCGAATTCAATGAAAATTTTTTGCATCTTTGCTCTTGTGCTCTTATTTTCAATTATAATTCTATCTCCTTTGTCTATTCAATCTATTTGCAGATCTTTAGAGTTAGGATCATTCATCTCGATTGAAAATTCATGTACCTGTTCCTGATATATAAGACATTAGATTTAATGGTAACATCTGGTGTTTAAAATTATCTCAATAGAGTTAACATTTCTCTCAATTGACCCTAAATAATCAAATTATTTGAGTAATATAATATTCATTGCAATATTCGAACATCCTTACTAGTAAGATGATATAGTGATGTGTACAGTTTATATAAAAATATACTCACTAAAAATGTTATGGCAGAAAATAAATTGTTCTACAAATCACACTGATTGACAAAAAAAAAGACCACACAGCACCAAATATTATACCTACTGATGCTAGCAATGAAAATTTTAGTATATATTGAAATGCGGAGGAAAATTTTATGTAAGTAGGAAAATGTCTTCTAGAACCCTAATCGCATGACAAAGACATTTTCATAGTTACGTTAACTTTACCTGAAACTTGTATTTTAAAATTCTGAAACTTTCAATAAAAGTTGAAGATATATAAAATAAATATTTCGTGCTGTATGGGAATGATTTTCGTTTATTAAAAATCAGTTTAAAATAATTAAAAATAAACCCTATTTTTAAATTCATTACTGATAGTTCTTTTACTTGATAGAAAAATCATGTCAACGATGAAAAAATCTATCAATTTATCATATTCCTGTTAGCAAACCAGAAAAAAATAAGTATTTTTCGACTAGTGTTACTGATGTTTGTTCATTGGATATACCCATAAGTAGGAAACGCATATATTTTTCCTTGTACGTAATATTTTTTCTATATAATTTTTTAATGGTAAACATATATTGTATAAAGGCATTCTGTCAATATTGCACAAAATATTATACACAAACTAATTATGAATGTCCGTTATTAAATGAATTATCAACCTACTGTAATTTATTTCATATATATGTTTATATATATTTAATCGATTTAGTAACACCACTCAAATTTAAATTTATGTATAGTTTGAAATATATATTACGATTTATAAAATTCTTTATATATTCTTCTGATGCTTTTTTTAACAACAAACGATTTCTTGTTTTAATAAATTTTTTTAAATACAACTTTTACATATTATTTACATTATTATATACAAATATTATATTTAGTTTTATTTAGTATTCGAAAATTAATTGTTTATTAACAGCATGTGATTATTGAGTCTAAAATGTTAATTTTGTCGGCAACTTTACTTTTAAAATATTGAATTGATTAATTTTAAATTGTGTGCAGATGTATAAAAATATTACAAGGAACAGTTGTTATATATATATTATATACAAAAATTGTGATATTTTGTTGAATTTATTATTATAAAATACTAAAAAATCACGTCATATCTAATCTTAAATTGTCTAAAAATTTTCAAATTATATATAATAATTAATTCAACAAAATATTATAATTTTCGCAAATAACAGCCGTTCCTCATCACATTTTTATAAACATCTCCACACAATTTAAAATTAATCCATTCAATATTTTAAGACTAAAGTTGCTGACAAAATTAACACGCATTTTTTGTGATACCAGTGAAAAATATAGATGTGACAGAAATTAAAAATTCCTGAATCGGCTTGATATTTTGGTAAATTGTTGTCCTATATGAAAGTAAAAAATCCTGAAAATATTGAATCATTAAAAAAAAATTTTTACAAAATTAATTATTGCTTCCTCTCCTCTCGAGGAAGCTTTGTGTATTCGTGACAATTTTCGATTTTTTAAAAATGGGTTATATGGGCTTATTTTTATCTAGAATGCATATATTTGGAGTTTTAAACAAATTTTCAGATGTATGTGTATGTCTCAAAATCTTGTGTACAAATTATCTCCAACACACTTTGATGGATTGTCCTGAAATTTTGTAGGCTTATTGCAGTCATTAATATCTAAAATCAGATGCAAGAATTTCAAAAAATATCCACATAATTTTTTTTTATGTCACTGTTTTAAAAATTTCGAAAATACGTTTTTTAATCAAAAAATTTTTTACACTGTAAATTAATTATTTTTTTTTGTACAAAAAACTCATTTCTCGCATTGAAACGAATTGATTAACCTGTATATAAAGTCTATATTTTACTTAAAATCTATAAATTAAATCATTTTTTAATTTTTGAAAAAATTATTTTTCGTATTTTTTGTAATAACTATTTTCTTCATGAAAATTTTTAATAAATTTTGTCAGAGTTGTATTTCTATATATAATTATGGGCTAGAAAAGATGGTTCTGCAATTTTTCATTACAAGTTACAAAAAATCTGAAGCATTTCATGCAACAGATTCTTATTCAGAACATCCAAATCTACAAGAATTAGTCATTCAGGTTCATGGCATGGCATAGGCTTTTTTATTGTTCAGTCAGTGTAATCTGAGTCATTCAAAAATGTGGTAGATCAAGTTGGATAGTGGAAATTTAAGATGGACGTAAATTGGTGCCACTGAACTATGTATTATATATAGTTCAGTGATTGGTACACATCTTTACATTGAGGGTGCAGTCCCATTTGAGGATAAATGCAGATTGCAAAACAGAAAATTATGAGAACAAGAGAAATATGCACTATCCTTTTCACATATATGGTTTCCTGTTTTGCATTTCTGCTCACGTGGGACTGCACCCTAATATAGGATAAAAAATATAATTTTTTTTAAATCTTGCTTAAATTAAATTTTCATATATAAATATTGGGATTTTAGTTTCTATTTTTGAAAAACCATTTACCATAATAAAAAAAATTAATCAAAATAATAAAATCATTTATTATTGCATTAAATTATACTATAAAAATAGATTTTATCTCAATAAAATTCAAATCTAAAGTTGTACCCAATTTACGTTAATCTTAAATTTCCCTCACCAAAGTTAAGCTACCTGGTCCCTGAAGCCATCTATAGTTAGGCAATTATTGTAAACGGGTCTCGACACGTTGACATCGTAAAACGTAAGACGTAAGAATGAGAGAGATATATATATATATCTTCTATCCTTTTCTACCTTACGTTAAAGTTTATGTCTTAAGGCCTTTCTCCAATAGGATCCTAAACTCTTGCGTTGCGTATGCATTGCGTCGGTTGCTATCGGCAACCAATGCTAAAGTCGGTTCTACAATAAGCGCGTCGGACGTGGACGCGAACGTGGACGTGCTGACGTCACAATGTTATTCAAATGGATGACGTCAGCACGTTCACGGTCGCGTCCACGTCCGACGCGCTTATTGTAGAACCGACTTAAAATCAACGCGTCAGTTACGCAACGCAAAAGTTTAGGTTCCTATTGGAGAAAGGCCTTTACGAGTTGAGAGTGAAAAGGATAGTGATATGTATACCAGAGATGGGTAAAAG